CATAGAAATTTGCAGCCTCGGAAACCCTATGGGGTCGCTATGAGTCGTCTCGTCGTCCACAGTGGGTGGAGGTCCTTGGGGGTGATGGCATGATGGGAAGGGGGAGTCAGATTGGAATCACTTAGAATTGATTGCCCCTGGTGAAAGTAAACTGCCCAGTAAATCACATTTTGGTAATGAAAGTAACTCTGAGCTTCCAAACAAGGCATTATTCTTTTCTAGGTCCTCACAGTCACTGCTTTTTCCTAAGGATTGTGCTTGCTGATTTAGGTGTTTGTGTGGAGCTTAATATCATTTCCTATAGCAGTTTCTTTTCAATTAAATGTGCTGACATAGAGTAATGCCTAATTACAGTCAATCTTTTTGTCTAGGGGTGAGCTTTGTATTTCAGGTGTCATTTGGTCAGGTGTTTTGAGAATTTCAGTTTATGTGACCATAATTAAGCTTTAAAGGCAAGAAGACACAAGACACCCTGTCTTGGTCTTGCTTCCCTTGCTCTGGCGAAGGAGGGAGAGACAGCTTAATCACTTAAGATGCAGTAAAAGCAAAATCCAAAAAGGGCAATCATGAGGACTGTTTTAGGGTTATGCCTGTAAATTACATATCAAGATGATTATTCTTGGCTTGTTATAAAGGAGTAGGCTTGAACCCTCAGCAATTTGACCACTGAATACACTGTAGTGATTTTAACCAAGAAGCTTAATACACTGGAAACGTTCCCTTGGCACTATAGTGTTCTCCTCCCTCACCGCCCCCAATCCTAGTACAGAAATGGTGACGTTGGGGAGCATTTAAATAGATATCTGAAAATGTGATGAAACACTCTATCTTTCTTTCAATTTTGAATTCCTTTGGCCTTTTTAAAACTGATTATGTGAGTCAGAAATAGTAGTGCCTCAGAGGAGAATATAGCCATGGGGATGGGGGACCAGTTTTAAATCATTGCCAAGTCTTCAGATTTTTAATAAGGATATTTTGCTCATTTTTGAGAAAATATTTTATTTGTTATACGAACTTGCAGAAAGCAGTTTGATGACCAATAAAAATAATGCTGTAATTGCTGGGGGTGACATCAGTGATTGTTTGCTGATAACCTGTGTTGTTCTGCATCGTATCAGGACCTATACTTTTTATTATTAATCATCTGAATAATTGATGGGAGATTAACCAGATGCAATATTAAGTACTGATGGAAAATCTCATTTTGTGAGTAGCTTAAAAGACTGGAGAGTGCACTATTTGAGGGTTATTTTTATTTTTATCCATTGAAAAGCAAATTATTTAAATACTTTTAATTACTTAAAGAAAAAGTATAGGTTTGGGGCTAACATCACTGATTCAGAGAGAGTGTATCTGAGGTGCTTCCAGAAAAATTAAATATTAACCATTAAATAAAAGACCCAGGCATCAGTATTTTTCCAAAACTAATGAGTGACCAGGATTAAGAACCATTGATCTGTGGCTAAGTGATAAGTCTGCCAGCACCTGGAATGGATGGAGACGTAGACTGTTTCAGAGCCTGTGCCAGACTTTCATAGTGATGGTCTTCTATTGAGGTCCCTAGTCTCTTCTCATTTCTTATCTAATCACTCATCTGGAGGCATCAAGAAACAAATCGTAATTACAACAGCTTTCCTTTTTATATGACCAGCAAAGGCAAAGGATTTTAAGATGGTACTAGGTGAGTAAGAGTGTACCCTCTTACTCTGTTGTCTGATTTTTATTGAGAGGCTATATTTTGCTATAACGTACTTCTTTTTTATAATATCCAGTTTATACTGTGGAGGTGTAAATCGGGAGTACAAAAGGGTGATTTTTATCTTGAGGGAGAACTTTAAATTGCTGTCTTTGTTAATTCATATAATGTAAATATACTTCAAAAATATTTTCCCATACTTTATATTGTAGTGTGTGATGTCTCATTAAGGTCGGTGCCAGCATATTTCAGTTAAAAAAAATGCTGTTCCTAAGGACATTTGGATGGGAAGCAGTTCAGCACAGGATGGACTCTTTCTTAATGACTTAAAATTCATTATGAGGTGGCAGGAATCGTGTACTCCCACTACAGACTACATTGTGTGCTATCCAAATGGGATTTTTTTTTTAAATGATTCCTATTTGAAGTTTTCTCTGCCTTGGCAAGGGCGCCTACATTATTCAAAATCACAGGAAACTAAAAAAAACCACTGTTCTAACACTACATTGGCAGCAAGTGGAAAATTACAGCGAATTTACACAGGAGTTCAGCGTTGCCATTTTTATATGAACGAGACAGTGTTGTAGAGTTGCAGCAAATTCCACCAGAGGTTGCAAGTTCATCAGATTTTAAGGTGAAACAGGCATGGAAAAGTCATCTGTCTCACCCCAGTCCTCAGGTAGCTGAATGCAAACCCGCAGGAACTGAGAAGACTTTGCCCAGTGTTGAAAAATGCTCAGCAGTAAACATTCTACCGCTTCTCTCAGCCCCCTATTTTATCATTTAACAATGATCACTGCTAGGATAAGTCTCTCCCCCCTAAACCTGCGCAGCAATTTCAGTCCATTTTATGCAGTTTAATGGAGAGAGAAGTCACTTAGGCCTTAGGTGAAAGAGATCAGAGAGATAACGTATGAGGAAAGCTCTTAGCAAAACTCTGAATGCTGTTCAAATGTAGGAGATTCATAAAAATATCATGTGCCAGAAAAAATATAGTATACTTTTGCCTTCCTTTTGTTGTCTGGAATGCAGAGAAGAGAGTTGAAGGCAATTCAGAATTAAATTAATCAATGGCCACAATTGATTGAGGGGGAAAAACCTTTATTGGTGGTGCTGGAAACATCCTACTTCACAGACCCTCTAGTTCCTTTGTCCCTTCCCCCTTTCCGGATGTAGAATGACCTCAGAATTTGTACAAAAAGTAGCTCTTCCTTCTTTATAGCCACGTCTTGTGTGAGTTACTAAATAACCATATGAATATTAAAGGTACTGTTGCAAATTGTAGTGTAATATATGGTCTTGACATTTTCTGTAATTCAAATTGGGTACATTATAAGGGTCAGGTCTGTTTTGGCGGTTACAGCGAGAACTTAACCTGCAACAAGAGAGGGGAGAGGCTGAGTAAACTATACATTTGGCAGAGGCATTCACTGTTTTTCTTGTAGTTGAAGGTTTGCAAAATCGACATTATGGAAAATTTACGTGCTCTTAGTAAGCAGTGTCAGATCCTGTATATTGCCGTTGCAAACAGAGAAATCAGTCCCTGAATCAAAATGTATATAGCTACTGTTCTGGAAAAGATATTCTTTACTGGCTTCCAGGGATTGTTGGAAAATTTCCCTGGGAATCACTGACTCTTAGCTTGCAAAGGACCTTGGACAATCAGTTTTTCAAATGCCCTGTCTTTGGGCAAGCTACCCAGAACAGATACTTAACAGATTTTTTCAGATGGCGAGGGATAGAGATCCCACAGGGTCCCTTAGCCCATGCCAGGGTAGATTCCCAGAAGTTACCCCTTGTATTCAGCCGGTCTCCTACTTTAATTTGTTCTAATTACTTTCTGAGTGATTCCCTACAGATTTCAAAGTCAACACCCTACTAAATAATCCTTTCATATGCTGCCATGAAAACGATGAGGCAAAAGATTTCACCTGTACCTTGGGGTGATTATTTTTCTGCACTAAGAAATCATTTTCATTATAATATCTACATAACTTGCTGTCGAGTCAATTCCGACTCATAGCAACCCTATAGGACAGAGTAGAACTGACCCCATAGGGTTTCCAAGGAGCGACTGGTGGATTTGAACTGCCGAGTATTTGGTTAGCAGCCATAGATAGCTCTTAATCACTGCACCACGAGGGCTTCTCTGTAAAGATTACAAAAAATCAGACTGGAATACATCAAAAAATAGCAGGTATCTGGAGAACTTTGCAAACTATAAGTAGCCTTGCTTAAAATGATTATTTTTGGGGGCAAGGAATTAAATCTTTGACCTTTAAATCGATCACTGAAACTAAGGAAGATGTTATGTGGCTACATCAGAAAATTTTAGTTTGGGGAATGATCTTTTTAAAAATAATAATGGAAATATATACATGGATAGTGGTTTCTGTCTTGCTTCCTTTGACTTCAACATTTGGTAGTCTCAAACATGATATAGTACTATCAAAGGAGACTGTCTCAAGTTTATATAATACCTTATTTCCAAGAAATTTTAAGTACTTTACACATCATCCCCATTTATCCTCATCTGTATGAGGTAGTTAAGAAAGTGTATGATCTTTATTCAAGATACAAAAGCAGAGTGAAGCCTCAGTGAAATTGAAGGGCGAGCCTAATCTTGAAACTTCTAGATTCAGTTCATCTTTAAAAAATTTAAAAGGGGTATTAGAGGTACGTAGTATGAAATGAAACTTTGTCAGTAGACTCTGAGAGATTGCAAAGAAATCTCTTTTCTATAAAGCCAAAGAATTGCAGAGCTTCTTTGTAGAGATAGTTGATTATTCCATTAATAAAGGCAGCCATTTCTATTTCTGACCTGTATACTTAAACATATTTTATGTTTAGAAGTAATTTGCATTCTACTTTCTGCTCTTTGGTAAGGTAGCTGACAAGGTTGTCCTCAATAGTTGTTGTATAAGAAATGAAATATTTCTAGCCTTTTCCTAAGTTAGTGTGTTGCTATAATGATGACAATTTAAGTTCTTTTGGGCTGTGGATGAAAGAAAATGATTGGCAGTTTAAAAAAAAAACGATTTCTCTAGGATATTTTGTTTAATTTAGACATTTTCAAATTGTAACGTTGGCCTCAGAACAGGTTCAAGTGACACTTTTACTAATCTCTCTAAGTCAGCAACTAAGAGCTTGGTGAATTTTGAATTTCCTAACAAGGTTTTCTCCTCCCCCAACTACACCTCCTCCCCAGACTACAGCCAGACATGCTTAGACAAGAATTCTGAGCTCTGAGGAAGCATGGAGAAATGGGATGAAAAACTTACTTTTTCCTCTTTCTCTTGGTCAGTGTGCTGGAGAAGAGAAACGAGTCGGTACACGCACAGTATTCGTTGGCAATCATCCAATTTCAGAAACAGAAGCTTACATTGCACAAAGATTTTGTGATAATAGAATAGTGTCATCTAAGGTAAGGTGTTTTTTTTTTTTTTAATTCAATGGTTGTTCATATAGTGAGTCAGATAATGCACTTATTTTTATTTATGCTTTTGAGGAAGTGGGTGCATTTATGTATGCATACATTGATGTACACTTACACAGATCGTATATCAATTGTTACAGTTATTTCACTGAAAGGCAGTTTTAAAAAAAACATCACTTTGTCACATTAGAGCTGAAAAACTATTCACTTGCTTTCCATTATGATTCACAGTACCTGTTGATTATGCGTATTACCTTAAGCCTTCAAGTGTGCTAAAAGTAGGAATTATTTATTGCACAAAGTCTCCTGAAATACCCTTAAATGGCTGCACTAAGATGCAAATGATTTGCATTCTTTTTGAGGAGTACTGTCCTAGAATGGGAGTCCTGGCGGCACAGTGGTTAAGAGCTCAGCTGCCAACCAAAAGGGTGGCAGTTCGAATCTACCAGCCGCTCCTTGGAAACCCTATGGGGCAGTTCTACTCTTTTCTGTACCATCGCTATGAGTCAGAAGTGGGAATCAACTCAAGGTAACGGGTTTGGTTTTTCTTTTTCTTTTTACTGGTCCTAGAATGAAATTCATTTGTATCTCTTTCTATGTCCAGGTCTATACTCTCCTCACCCCCCTACACAATTTCTGAGTATACTTCTGGGTCCAAAAGGGTGCATTGTGCTCAGTACCCTGCTTGACCTGCTAAGAGAGTTCAGCCACTGTGGCTGAATCACCATCTAATTAATGCTTTTCTTCTAGCATATTGTAGTGCTAAGAAGAGTGGCCTGAGAGTCTGAAGACCTAGGTTCAAATCTTGGCCCGACCAATTACTAGTGGTTTGACCTTGGCCAAATTAATCTCTGAGTTTAGATGAAATCGTCGGTGAAATGGAGCTAATACTCCATACATGAAAGCGTTTATTATAGCTCCTAGTACCTAGTATGGAGCCCTGGTGGCACAGTTCAAATCCACCAGCTGCTCCATGGAAACCCTATGGGGCAGTTCAGCTTTGTCCTACAGGGTCGTTACGAGTCGAAATCAACTCGACGGCAATGGATTAGTACCTAGAAGTCATCATTCTGCAAGTATTAATTTCCTTTCCATTTGTGCTGTATCTTTTTATTTTTTTTATCGTATAAGTCTGAAAAACCAGTTGCTGTCAAGTTGATTTGGACTCATGGAGACCCTATGTGTGCCAGAGTAGAATTGTGCTCCATAGGCTTTTCAATGACTGATTTCTCGGAAGTAGATCACTTGGCCTTTCTTTCGAGGCACCTTTGGGTGAACATGAACATCCAACCTTTCAGTTAGCAGCCGAGCATGTTAACCAAATATAGCCATTTCAACATTTTATACATGTACAATTCAGTGGCATTATGTTCATCATGTTGTACAACTATCACCACTGTTCCTAAATTTTTCCATTACCACTCTTAACAGAAGCTCAGTGTCCTCTGAGCAATAACTTCCCCTTTTCCCCCTCCGTCCCACTCCTGGTAACTACTGATAAGCTTTGGTCTCTATACATTTGCCTATTTCATATAAATGGGACCGTACAATATGTGTCCTTTTGTGACTGACTTATTCAATCAGCATGATTTTTCAAGGTTCGTCCATGTTGTGGCATGTATCAGGATTTCATTTCTCTTTATGACTGAGTATTATTCCGTTGTATGTATGTACCACATTTTGTTTATCCATTCATCTGTTGATTTCTCCATATCTTTACCTCTGGTTGTCCAGCCTAGGTGCTAGGTGCTAGGTGGGTGGCCCACTGCCATCTCCTGTAGCATGACGCCAATATTGATGACTTTGCTCGCTCTTCCTCCCTTCCTCATGCAGTTGGCAAGGCAGTCAAGATGTTGGTGACACTTAGTTCCCTGCAAGTTCACAAACACTTAGAACCTGAAACACAAAAGTTATGCCCTCCCTTAAAAACATTAACATTTTGATTTACAGACATGCATTTGATTTCTCCTTTGGGTAGTGAAGTGATAGAGATTATGTTTAGCTAGGAGAGTAACATGTAAAATGTGGACAGAATGAGTGAAAATTGTATTCTCTAACGAGCACATCTGTAGGCCTATAGAACATTGTGAGTATATTTGTATAAAATGTGTTTCTTTTTAACTTTATTCTCTTATGTCAGAAATTTTATCCTCTGCCAAAGGTTCCCATACCTCAGCCAGAGACTTTCATACCTACTATGCCCAACATAGTGAACAGTCCTTTGACTGGAATCTTTGACTCACCCTGTGGTATCCAAGAAAACAATCGACGATTGTTTTTTGACCCAAAATCATGGACTTGTAAAGCTGAAAGGTCATAAGAGGCCATCTTGTCCAACTCACTGACTTTATAGATGAAGAAACCAAGCCTAGAGAAATGAAGTTAGTGACATGGTCACCAAGCAGAGTTAGTGATAAAGCCAGGAGCAGAACTGCTTTATAAGACCTAGTGGCTCAGAATAAAGAGCCCTTTTCACATCATTGGGCTGTCTTTTCTATAGTGCTTTAAGGAGAGGATGGTAAAGTGATACATACACTGTTTTCATTGAACTAGTAGTAATCATTTTATTGTGTTTTTTCACATTTAAAAAGAATGCTTAAGACTCAATTACCATTTTTTATGTATGTAGTAGGATATTTTTCATATTTTAGCTAGCTTCAGTTTCACCAGCAGGCAAAACAATGTAATAGAATATTTTTTAAAATATTCAGGAGCTCGCGGGGCAAATAAAGATTCCTTTTCTAAACAGATTTGCTTATGTATTAGAAACAAGAATAAAGGTGTGAACATTTCCACATTGATGGACTAACATCTCTTTTCTCTGTTATTATGATGGGTTCATAGTTTTCTAGTTAATTACTGATTACTGATCTGCTTTTTCGTAAAAGCTCTAGAATTGGCAGTACTGTGTAGTAACTTCCGAAAAAGAATGAAATCTTTAATACTATAATCTTAATACAAAGAATAATTATGAGTATAGGATATAGTATAGTGGTGAAGAGCTTCATCCCTGGAGACAGAAGACCTGGGTTTGGAGTTAAAAAGTAAGTCATTTAGCCTCCCTGTGCTTCAATGTTCTGATCTGTAAAATATAGATATTAATAGTACCTACCTCCTAGGATTGTGGTGAGGATGAAATAATGCACATAAAGCATATAGCATTGTGCTGTGCATGTAGTAAAACTCAGTGAATGGTAGTTGCTATTGTTATTTATGTTTCTGTGATGGTTATTATTACAGTACTGAGTAGTACTATTGATTTCTTCAGTCTTAAGTTTTTTGAATGTGTGGGGTAGTCTTTATTAAAGGCGGCCTTCAGGTCCACTGAGGAGAGACCAACGTTTCATAACTTGATGTTTTCTTCCTTGCATTGTCTTTTGGCTGTTTGTGTGAGTACCAGAATTATTTAATTGTGGAAATATGCACTTCATAGAATATGTTAGCTGCCCTCCAAGTTTGTGGCAAGTGTCGATTTCCTTTCTCCACCTTTCAGTGATAAAAATAACTTCATCTTAACTGGGTGCTTTGTTGTTGTTTACAAGTATCATCAGTAATGTCCATGTAATACTGAGAATAAGTCTTGTTAATTCAGGGAACACTGAAGATAAACACTTTGACCTACTTTAAATTTTATTTACATATAAAATTAGTATTTTTTTTTCCTCCTGGGAACACAAATACCTTCATTAGAAAAACTTGTGCTCTGCAGCTGTACTACTTAAAGTACTCTGAAAGGGGCCTTTGGGAATCGCCAGGATTTTGTAGCTCGTAAAAAACTTGAAAATTCCCTTCTTTAGCAAAAAGAGCATTGCTCATTGACTGCATTCACTCTCTTAGGATCTTTAGTTCATCATGTTCATCTGTTCTTTTTTATTTTTTGCGGGGGGGGGTGTTTAAAATTTTTGAGCCTCATCTTGAAGGTCTTTCAGTGGGATAAGAATCAGTTGGGCTACACTTAACTCTTTTTGAAGGTATTCGCAAAGTTAAGCTTAGAACTCATGTGAACAACTGCCTTGAATCAAAGTTTCAAGCATAAAATTACACTAGTGTTTCTTCTCATTTTAAAAATCAGAGTTGTCAGTGGAATTTATTAGATGTCACTTTCTCTGGGTCTTATCTAGTTCTCTGAAGGTGCTTTTTTAGGTAAAGTTACTAAATCCTGATCAGTTTATGTCCTGGTAGTTGCTTTGTTCTTCCATCTGAATTTATAGTGGAAAGAGTGATGCTTTAAAAAAAAAAAATTCTTGACGTTTGTAATGAAAATGAAAGTAGACTGCTGTGATGCTCAAAACCGGATTTAATGCCTACATCAAGGAGAGTTAATAATGAAATGGATACAGTAATTTAGTAAAGTGAACAGTTAGAGCTGCTTATTTACAACTGGCTGCTTATTTACAGCTAGTGTTAAAGTGTAGCTGTTTTGTTCCATTTTATCTGTGATGCACTCACAGGTTGTCCCAGATTCCTAAATAACCAGGACGCCATTAGATAAAGGGCACCAATCACTAGTAGTGACTCCTCCATGAATATTAAGTCCTTCCAGTCAGAGCCTGAATACCCAAGACTCTCATCAGCACATGGAAAGTAGCTTTTACTACTTACAACAAGAACCAGACAGCATACAACAGGAAAAATGCTATGACTAGAGGTCCCCCTGACTCAAAAGCTGTCCAAGTGGAGATGGAAAACTCCCCAGGCTCCATGGTGCACCTGTGACATGCTCCCTGACATCTTAATAGCTCATGAGTCAATAACGGAGAGGAGACAGCATATAACAATAGTTCCCTATGAAGGGAATAACCAGAGTTCCTCAAGGAAGCAGTTCACTTAGCATGTTAAAACGGTGGTAAATTAACAGTGGGGCTTAGAAATAACAACAACAACAAAAAATGTTTCTTTCTGACATTTTAGCACCCCCACAGAGGACTCTCAACAATCCCCAATGTTTGTGTAATTAAAAGTCCTTTAGCTTGGGACCAGAAGGTCAGCACGCCAGAAGCTCAGTTGTTAGCCTATTGTTGGAGTTTAGCTGTGACATAAACTTGTTTTAGGAAATTGATCTGAAGTAAATGGAACAGTTAGGTGCTGGACTGGACTATGTCAGCCTTTTCCTTTTTTGGCTACAAGCTGCCTTTGAGGATCTGATGAGCGGTGTGGGCTCTCTTCTCCTCACTGATGTGCATCCACACACAATTCTACACTTAATTTGAATGGTCTTCCCTGAGGCACTTCCATGGATCCCAGGGGAAGAACCTTCTGGGTTGGCTGTTGGTTATAATGCAGCTGCTTCACTAAATGTGTTTGCCTTCATTTGTCTTCATGCCTTTGGGATTCTTTGAACCTTCAGCTCGTAAGCCTGTTGAAGTGAGGTTAGTAGTAAATCCCCATATACTAAGTCATGCTCTGTGACTTTGGCTTTTCAGTCACCTTACCTAATTTAATGGATATGTTCTCATATTATGCAGATATTTGGGATGGAGACTATTCAAGAGTAAATTTTGCTCTTTAGGTTAAGAAACATTTCTTCCATTCTAGGTTCTGGTGTTTTTTAAGGTATCTAGCAAACCCAACTTCTTCTAGTGATTCTTAAATGACCCAGTCCTTGAGATTAAGGTATGAGTGGTGGCTCCAAACATATACCTCATTTTTATGCAAATAACACATGCGTTATACATTTTTGCCAACCGCGCAACCCCTCGTGCATTATTTTCCTAGGCACACTGTGTATGTGTGGGTGCTTTCTTTGCGAAAAAATACGGTAGGCAGTTTGACAATTAGTCCAAGAGTTCTTTCCTCTTGCCCATGTGCAATTTAGCATTTAAACTTTTACAGTTGTCTTCCCTATTGCCAAAGCCCCATGTGGTATGTTCTTGATTAAAGTGAAAGCCTGCTGTGGCCCAAGGTTGTGTGTACACCCTCTCAGCTGTCCAGAGGGTGGGAGGTACTGGTAGGAACAGAGTTATATCTGTGATGAAGATCAAGACTCCAAAGATTACCTGAGCCAGGGGGATTAATTTACTGTCTATTTTGTGCCAGGCACTGTGCTAGGTGTTGGGGAAAAAGTAGTAAACAAGACAGCTAAAGATCCTGCCCTTATAGAACTCATTGCCTATTGAGGCAGAAATTTAAATTAAAAATTCAGACATATGTAATTATTTGCTGTGATGAAGCTATTGAAGCAAGGTTAGTAGTAAAACCCCATTGGCTGTAAAGAGTGTTATGGAGGATATGAGAGAATGTAACAGGGAACCTAGTTTAGGTTGGGGTCAGGGAATGCTCCGAGACATAGTATAGTATCAACAACTGAAAATTTCATTTCTGAAAAAAGTTTTTATATACTATATCTTTACATATATGCTTAATCGTGTGTGTGTGATTTGAATTTTAACATGTTTTTCAAGTGTTGGATATAGTAAGTATCACTTCATAAAAGAATCTAGGTCCATATCAGTCATTGTTATTGAGATTTTTAAAGTTTCCCTTCTGATAATATTCTTTTTTTGTTTCCCCTTAAACAGTATACACTTTGGAATTTCCTCCCAAAGAATCTGTTTGAACAGTTTAGAAGAATTGCAAATTTTTATTTTCTCATCATTTTCCTTGTACAGGTAAGAACTTCCTAAATAGCCACTCATCTTTTAGAAACTTGGTTCCTTCAAACAAATTTTCAGTCCATTTCTAACCTTAAAGTGTTTGTTTGATGAAAACATATTCAGGGTTTATTATTAATATGACTTTTTATAAAGTAGTAATCACATTTTAAGGTTTATATTATTTTTATATATTTCTAAAGTACTGTTTTTACTAGAAAACCTTTTTTCTCCCATTATTACTTTCTTTAAAGCTTTTGTGGATTTTATATCTGTTCATCGTAAAGGGACGTGTATTTTGTACCATTAAATGCAGTGGCACCTATCATAACTGAAAATAATTCAAACTAACAGTTTTACTTTGTTAAACACCAATGATGGCCTAACTGAAAATTTGTCACTGATCTTCCTCGATTGCTGCTTTTCCTCTTCTTCTTTCACTTATGCACGTTAAGGTTGAAAGACTGGTAGATCAATCTGCTTCCCTCTGTTCCTTCTGATGTTTTACCTATTTTGGACATTTTCAGTTGTATCTCCTATCTTTAAGTCGATAAGCCAGTAAAATCTCTCACCAAATTTACCCCCTGAAAATTTTATTACATTCGAGGTACTTTTTTTCCTCATTTCATTTTTTTAAACAAAGCAGGAAAATCCCAATGAAATTGCTCAAATGCCTTGTTGATGTTAAGTTTATCTACTTTGAGGCTTTGAGTGAATGGTCCTGTCATTGAATTTAGCCTGCTACTTAGAAACAGTCTGGGCTGTAATATGGGAAAGGGCCAATTTCAGTCTTGAATGATGGAACATTTGCAAAGGAGTCCCTCTAGATCCATGATCAGGTGTCTTACAGAGCAGCATAACATCAGCTACGAAGAGGATGCTGCTCACGTGAGTCATTCCACTTGGCCTGTGGTGCATTTCTGCAAATGTATAAGAAGTTCCTACTGTGTGCCATGCAGTAATGTAGACAACAAAGATGGTAGCAGGGACAGTGAGGATCAAGACATGGCTTTTCTACCCTTAAGAAGTTCATGTTACAACTGAGAAGACAGTCATGTATCCGTGTAATTTAATGTAGTAAATGTCCTGCTAGTACCATGAGCAAAATGCTGTGGGAATACAGTAGAAGTTAGGATTCTCTCTACCCAAGAGGAGTCTGAGAAGGCTTCAAAGAGGAGGTGAGCCTTGAAGGATTAGAAAGGTTTAACCTGGTGACCAATGCCAGACTGGCATCCCATGGGTAGGGAAGAGATTACAGAAAGGCACAGAGCCCCATAAAAGCCTGGTGTGTACATGGAAGTATACACTGTGTCTGCAGCACAGGATGTGTGGCAGGGTAGACTGGGGAATGAGAGTTGAGATTTTAGGGCTGATTGAACTCATGATCTTCCTTCCTTCTAATCTAGTTCTCTTGAAGTATTTCATTTTTCAGTGACTGATGACAGCATCCACTCAGGCACATTAAGCAGAAACGTGGAAAACATCTTTGATCACCCCCTACGTATAATCCTTCACCAGTCCTACCATTATTGTCTCCTGCATATTGCCTCGTAAACAACTTCTTTCCGTGTCTACTGCTACCACCCTAGTCCAAGCCATCATCTTTCACCTGGATTGCAGGAGTAGCCTCCTAAATGGATTCCCTGCCTCCACTCTTTTGTTCATTTCCAAACTGTCTTCCACCAAGCAGTGAGAAGGATCTTTTCAAACTGCAGTACTGTTCATATAATCTCTCCCTGTCTAAAGCCTTTAATACTTCCCCGTTTGTGGGATAAAGCATAAATAGCTTACTCTGACCTAGAGGGCCCTGCATGGTCTGGCCGCTGTCTCCCTCTCTGGCCCCATCAGGCACCACACACCCTCCTTGCCACTGGCTTCCTTCATCTCCCTTCTGCCAGAGACACTTAGCATTCACTGTTAGACCATGCCTCAAAAGCCCCCATCTGCCTGTTAACTCTTACTCACCTTTCAGATCTCAGCATCTGTACACTTCTGGTGATTTGTTGTAATGTCCAGTTTTCCCTTTAAGCTGCCAGCTACATGAGGGCAGGGGCTTGTCTCCATCTTGTTAAAGCTACATCTCTAGAACCTAGCTGATAATAGCACAGGGCTGACAGAGAGGGGCTCAACAAATAGGTGTTGAATGAATAGATTTACTTCAGTAAAAGAGTTAATCCAAGCTGGAATGAAAAGTAAGCCTGAATTAAGGACTATTTCTTAAACTAACTGTTATGTGGGTTGCTTTTGTTTCGATGAGAATTAACACAGAATGTGTTTTGCCTGCTTTTCTCTCTGAAACGTTTGCAGAATGTAAGTGCTACATATGCATTAATGGCTTATTTTCATTTTACTATCAATTTAATTTCTTCACCTAGGTCACAGTAGACACACCAACCAGCCCAGTTACCAGTGGACTTCCACTATTCTTTGTTATAACTGTTACAGCCATCAAGCAGGTAAATTTCCTATTTACAGTTATGCCTGCATTCCAGTCCAGTTTGGTTTGCAATTCCTTGTCAGTGTTTGTTTTTCATATTTATATAGAGTAGGCAGTATCCTTGATGCATTTCATTTATATTTGGTTCCCATCGAAAACCCATTAAATTGATTTTAATGCGTATACTTAATTTCTTTGCTCCTTTTCTCCTCAACATCTATGTGCAGGGGTGAGAGGATCAAAGAAAGAGTAAGTAGAAGGTACAGCTCAGTTGGGGATTGGGAGGTGAATTTTTAATGTGCATTAATTGTTTCAGTCTGGTATGTCTGTCTGAAAAAGTCCCATTCTAGTGGACGTTTATTATTGTTGTCTATAGCAGAGAACTCAAGAGCACAAATGCTGTAATTTTTTCATCTTTCCTTATGCTGGAAACTCTGGTGGTGTAGTGGTTAAGAGCTACACCTGCTAACCAAAAGGTCGGCAGTTCGAATCCACGAGCTGCTCCTTGGAAACCCCTATGGGGCAGTTCTACCCTGTCCTATAGGGTTGCTATGAGTTGGAACAAACTTGACAGCAATGGGTTTGGTTTTTTTTTTTTGTTTTCCTTATGCTATTGAAGGACCTGGGGTGGTAGGTAGGGGAGACTTTCGTTTGGGTTTCTTCTTGTCAAAGCTGCTACAGATTGTGATGTTGATGTTTTTGAAGCAATTTCAACATTTATATGGTAGTACCTTTGAAAAATTGCAGAAGAAATTGATAATGAAACAGTAAACTGGGGCTGAAGGGGTGGGTTAACAATCTTTATCATATATTGGGATGGTCCATAGGACTTAACTAATGACAAACATACTTTTAGACAATAATTATCAAGGTGCTTTTAAAAAGTTATCCAAAAAAGCTTACAAAATAAAGTTCTGTTTAACAGTTTTGGGAACAAGGTTACTCTTTCCTCTTGAGGTTATCTGCTCCCCTATCTTGCCTACCAGGAACTGCAAGAATATTTCATCAAGTGTTTGGTTGCTAAATAAAGACTTTTGGAATGTTCTTTCCCTTAGGCTCTTAGGATTATTTTCTTTAACGTCATAGAATTACTGGTTCCAAGAATAGCATGTATAGTTTTCAAAAGTTTTTACTAATTTATTTTACTCCCGTTACTAGTTCATGTTAATTCCTTTCTTTCCTCACTGGCATCACAGAAAGTATCCTATGAAGTCATAGCCTAGCTTTGTCATTAAGAGGGACAGAAGAGTAATGAATATGGCCTTTGAGGGGGAAAAAAAGGGAAAGACGATCAAGAGATTTTTCAAAGAGTTGTAGTTGAAAAGATACAGAAGACATAGGCATTACTAAAAAGAAAAAGAGCAGAGGGGTGTAAAAAAGGAGAAGAGGCTATGCTCAAACTAATGAAGATCTTCCTTCCTTTGTTCTTTTCGTTTAAATCTGTTCCAGACAAAAAGCACAAACAAAAATGAACCATTAGGTGTTTCCCTGATTACTTTTAACTATCAAAAATGGACACCAATTTTGGAGGGTTGTGGGGACCATGGTCTCAGGGAACATCTAGCTCAATCGGCATAACACAGTTTATAAAGACAATGTTCTACATTCTACCTTGTTGAGTAGCGTCTGGGGTCTTAAAAGCCTGTGAGCAGCCATCTAAGATACTCCACTGGTCTCTTCCCTTCGGGAGCAAGGGAGAATGAAGAGAACAAAATACAAGGAAAAGATTAGTCCAAAGGACTAATGGACCACAGCTACCAAGGCCTCCACCGGACTGAGCCCAGGACTGCTAGATGGTGCCCGGCTACCACCACTGACTGCCCTGACCGGGATCACAACAGAGGGTTCTGGACAGAGTTGGAGAAGGACATAGAACAAAATTCTAACTCACAAAAGAAAAGACCAGATTTCCTGGCCTGACAGACTGGAAAAACCCCGAGAGTATGGTCCCCAGACACCCTTTTAGCTCAATGGTGAAGTTATCTCTGAGGTTCACCGTTCAGCCTGGGAGTGGACAGCCCCGTAAAACCAAATGAGACTAATGAGGTACAGTAGTCCAGTGACAAGGGCCAGAAGGCAGAAGGGGACAAGGAAGCTGGTGATAGGGAACCCAAGGTTGAGTAAGGATAGTGTTGATGTGTTGTGAGATTGTTATCCACTGTCATAGGGCAACATTTGTAGTAACTGTTAAATGAGAAACTATTTTGTTCTGTAAGCCTTCATCTTAAGTGAGAATAGCAGCACGATTGGAAGAGCGTAGTCGATGTCACTGAACTGTGCATGTAGAAATTTTTGAAATGGTGTATCTTTGGCTATGTGTATTTTCACCAAAAAAAAAAAAATTGAGAAGTTAGAGGGTTGACATGTTGTGGGGTTGTTAACCAGTGTCATAAAACAATATGTGTACTACTGTTTCATGAGAAACTATTTGTTCTGTAAGCCTTCACCTGAAGTACAATAAAAAAAAAAAATTAAAAAACCAAAAAAAAGGACACTAATTTATATTCTCTTTTATCGCCAATTCAGTGGAGTTTAACTGTTCATCTCAAATAAAGCTTATCGTAAATTATCTACCAAAACAATCCTAACTTGCCTTTTTTAATTCTCTGTGGGAGGGGAAGACTTATGATATTTCCTCAGAAATGATCACGTCAACTGTCTAGTACAGAAGAATGTATTTAAGTGATTAATTCTGTAAGAAAATAAAAACTCAAAACATTTTTTTTCAAATTAAGAAAGAGAAAACTAACATTAATTTGAATAAGAGTAGAATTAAAAGACTAAATTATAATCCTTCACAGTGGAACAAGAGTAACTGTCTATGCTGGTGTTTTCGTTATTACTTATCTAAAGAATGAAGGAACCTTTTAATGCAATAAAGCTGTTTACCTAAGGGTTAGTTTGAAAGTGTGTCTCAGTTTTTGCTATTAAAATGTGAAGCTTTGTCTCTTTAGCATACTGAGTTGAAATTAATACTCTTGAGTGTAAATATCTGCTGGTGATTCATGGGGGGTTATGGATTATTAATGACTTTACTTCATTGTCTGAGCTTGATTGTATAGTTATTTTTATCCCTCTAGGGATATGAGGACTGGCTGAGACACAGAGCTGACAACGAAGTCAATAAGAGCACTGTTAACATTATTGAAAATGCAAAGCGAGTGAAAAAAGAATGTGAAAAAATCAAGGTATTTTTTTTTTCATTCATACCTTTTTCTATTGTGGTAAAATAAATATAAGAAAGTTCATCATTTTTAAAACCATTTTCAAATGTACAAGTTAGTGACATTAAGTACATTCACAATATTGTGCAACCATCACCACCATCTAGTTCAGAACATTTTTTCATCATACCAAAAGGAAACCCTGTACCCATTAAGCAGTCACTCCCCATTGCCTCTCCCCCCAGGCCCTGTACACCAGTAATCTGCTTTTTGTCTCTATGGATTTATATATTCTAGATAGTTTATATAAATGGAAATATATGTAGTCTTTTATGTCTCACTTCTTTCACTTAGCATAATGTTTTCAAGGTTCATCCACCTTGTAGCATGTATCAGTACTTCATTCCTTTTTATGGCTGAATAATACTCCATTGTATGGATACATCACATTTCACATATACCAGTTGAACATTTGGGTTGTTTCCACCTTTTGGTTGTTATGAATAGTGCTGTTGTAAACTTTCATGTACAAGTTTTTCTTTTGAATACTGTTTTCAGTTTTCTTGAGTGTATATCTAGCAGTGGAATTGCTGGGTCATACAGTAATTCTATGTTTAATATATTGAGGAACTACCAAACTGGTTTCCACAGTGACTGCACCATTTTACATTCCCAGCAGTAGTGTATAAGGGTTCCAATTTCTCTACATCCTAGCCATCACTTGTGATTATCTGTCTTGTTAATTATATCTATCCTAGTAGGTGTGAAGTAGTGTCACCTTATGGTTTTGATTTGCATTTCCCTGGTGGCTAATGATGTTAAGCATCTTTTCATGTGCTTGTTTGGCCATTTGTATATCATCTTTGGAGTCTATTCAAATCCTTTGCCCATTTTTTAATTGGATTATTTGTTTTTATTTTAGTGTACCACAGACCTTAAATTCCTTTAGCTGTAGATTGCTATTGGCTTGTGCTTTGTGTGGGATCTGTGGTATAGGAAGATTTTTCTCAGTGTTTCTTCTCCACCTTCCACTCTTAGCAGGCCGTACACTCCTGAGCCACAGAGAGTGTCTCTCTCTGTGCCCCCCGTCCCCCAGGAAGGGGGTTTCTTAGTTCTCCTGCTCCAGTATCAGTATTAGGCAGGCCCTATGTACCTATGTACCAGAAAGATGTTTACCTGTGTTTTATTGACTATGCAAAGGCATTTGACTGTGTGGATCATAACCAATTATGGATAACATTGCGAAGAATGGGGGTTCCAGAACACTTAATTGTGCTCATGAGGAACCTGTACATAGAACAAGAGGCCGTTGTTCGAACAGAACAAGGGGATACTTCGTGGTTTAAACTCAGGAAATGTGTGCGTCAGGGTTGTATCCTTTTACCATACCTGCTCAATCTGTATGCTGAGCAAATAATCCGAGAAGCTGGCCTGTATGAAGAAGAACACAGCATCAGGATTGGAGGAAGACTCATAAACAACCTGCATTATGCAGATGACACTACCTTGCTTTCTGAAAACAAAGAGGACTTGAAGCACTTACTGATGCTTACCTATTCAAAGACTATACCCTTCACTGTGGATTACTCCTCAACAGAAAACAAAAATCCTCACAACTGGACAAATCAGCAGCACAATGATAAACGGAGAAAAGATTAAAGTTGTGAAGGATTTCATTTTTCTTGGATCCACAATCAACACCCATGGAAGCAGCAGTCAGGAAATCAAAAGATGTATTGCATTGGGCAAATCTGCTGCAAAAGACCTCTTTAAAGTGTTGAAAAGCAAAGATGTCACCTTGAGGACTAAGATGCGCCTGACCCAAGCCATGGTATTTTCAGTCACCTCATGTGCATGTAAAAACTGAACAATGAATAAGGAATACAGAAGAAGAATTGACGCCTTTGAATTGTGGTGTTGGCAAAGAATATTGAATATACCATGGACTGCCAAAAGAATGAAATCTGTCTTGGAAGAAGTACAACCAGAATGCCCCTTAGAAGCAAGGATATCGAGACTTCGTCTCACATACATGCTTTGGACATGTTGTCAGGAGGGATGAGTCCCTGGAGAAGGACATCATGCTTGATAAAGTAGAGGGTCAGAGAAAGTGATGGATTGACACAGTGGCTGCAACAATGGGCTCAAACATAACAATGATTGTGAGGATGGTGCAGGACCGGGCAGTGTTTTGTTCCGTTGTACACAGGGTCACTATGAGTCAGAATTGACTCGACGGAACCTAACAACAACAAACAACATGTACCTGAGCCTCAGGGGATGGACTTTCTCAGTATTCCTGCCTCGCATACCCTCCTTCCCCCCATGGCAGCTGAACTTGGCCCTGTATCAGTGCCAGGTCCCGGTCTGAGTGAGTTTTCTCTTACCTCTCCTCCAGCAATAGCCAACATTTCCTTTGAACTACTTCTGGGAGGGTTTCTGACCTTTCCCCTAGATGTAGATGGCTTTTGCCACATATGGGAGAAGGTGTTGTGCCTGTGTCCTCGCAACAGTCAGTCACCACCTGTGTGCCTGTACCAGTGAGGAGGGCTCTTTAGGTCTCCTGCTCTCACTCTTTCTCATGAGTACCCAGAGGAGGCCTGTGGAGAAGAGTGGACAAGTGCTCCTGACCGCTCTTTGTCTAGCAGGCTCCCAGAGATTCTAAACTGTCACATTAGCTCACATTCAGCCTTTAAGAATGGGTCACAATTCCGGCTGTTTTCTTCTTCCCCACTTTTATGGCAGCCATTTCTTCCTCCTGTGCTCTGTCAGTTGTGAAACTTTTCATTTGCCCTGTCTCTTCTTAGGGACTTGTCTCTGTTTGAATCTTAGTTCACCTGGTTGCCTTGCAACCTTAGCTCTCTGATGAACTAAACAAAGTTAAGATTTTCGTAGATTATCCAGCTTTTTGTAATTTTTGCGATGAGTGTTTTTTTAATATCCAAAATGAAAGCAGAACTCTAGAATTAACCTTTTAACTGGAACATGTCATTTCCATACAAGTCCATTGTCTTCAGGGTGAGGCTTATCCTTAGCGCTGCCTGCTTGGCCCTTTGTGATCTGACTCCTGCTATCTCACCTGCCTCAGCTTGTACTCCATAAGCACTGGGCCTTTATGTTTCGTATCTAAAGGAATTGTAAGTGTTGTAGAAGAAATGCCCTCTTTGTGATTTTTATTTTTCCGTGATTGAGAGTTAGTTTCCAATTTCTAAGGAGTTTTTCCTTCTTCTAAGATGTTTTAGGACTTTGTTATTTTCCTTCTAAGTATTTAAGCATAGACTATGGTTTTATGTAAGCTACGCAAGTGTTTATGTAAATGAGGAAGAAAATATCCCAACAAATTAAATATTATATACAAATTAATTAAATTATTGACACTGTTGTTCTTTACCACTGAAGAAGATTGGCAAAGAAAGGAAAATTATTACTGAATAGATCTTGAAATTTTCATCTTTATGTTGTAAGTAGAAGGCAGGTGTTTCATTTCTTCGGGTTTCTCAACCAGTATGTCCAGACTGATCTGTGAGGTACTGACTCCTTCCTAAAGTGAGTTGTCTGTGCCACCAGCAGCCTCCTCCTTTTACCCGAGGGTGCTAAACAAAAGGCTTATTTATTGTTTTCTGTAAATGCCATGGTCTGAAATATGTTAGGAAGCACTGGATTAGATGTTCTTACATCTTCCCAAATTAAAAACAAACGAACAAAATCATTCTCACTATTCCTAAGTTGAGAGTAAAGTAGTTAGTTGCAGGGTATTCGTAATAATTATTATTAACACCTATCAGATGGTTAATACATGCCAGGCACGTTGCTAAATGCTTTACCTGTATCGCCATTTCATCCTTATGCCAATCCTGTGAGGTAGTTGGCAATCATCTAAGGCACTTACCAAGGCCATATAGTTAAGTGACAGAGTTGGGACATGAAGTCAGGTTACAGAATTCAAGCTTTTAGCCATTATGAGTTACTCCATACAATATAAAATTCTCTGCAGTAGATATGATTCATGATCTGTGCTCTTTTATATTTTCCCTCTTCTTTATTTGAAGTTTGAGTACTTGCTGATAGGAAATGGTTTCTCAAGACTCTGTATCGAGTCTTCTGATATCAGATAAATTGTTGAAAAATGACCTGTAGAAAACATCAGTTTGTGTTTTTCCAATATTATGGGAAAAATAGATGCTTCTTTAATTAAGAGACTTCTTGAGCACTGAAGAAGGTACTCAACACCCAACAATCACAACTGTTATTACAAGATTACACAGAAGGCAAAGCATGTTGAAATATGTATGGTACAGAGGGGGCGTATGCAACTGTGCAGTTTTCATGAATTGCCCTGCTTGTGATATGTAGACTTTCTCGATTCATTAATGAAGCAATAATGGTCGTTGACTTATCAAGAATTTGTACCAGAAATATCAGAGCAGACAGGTTCCAGGGTGCCTGACTCACTTATTAGAGGTTGCAGTTCAGTTCTAAGTTATCTTGAAAGCATCATAAGCCAACGTAACCTAAAAGAAGATTCCGAATGTTGAGTAATATTCTTTGATCACCTTTCATGCAGTGTAGGACACTGAGATATACTCTAAGCCCCAGAACAGGAGTAATGTGAGGGAATACAGTTATAACGAATGTTTTGTTTAGAATTAAGAATATTTATTTTTTCTCTCCATCTAGGTTGGTGATGTAGTCGAAGTACAGGCAGATGAAACCTTTCCTTGTGATCTTATTCTTTTATCATCATGCACCAGTGATGGAACCTGTTATGTCACTACAGCCAGTCTTGATGGAGAATCCAATTGCAAGGTAGTAGAACATTTTGACCTCAGGATAGTGAATCATACAATACTGATACCTACCACCCCTAATCTTTTACTTTCCTTTTTCCTATTCATGTAGATTTTGTATCTGAAGGCAGCTTTTGTGTAATTGTCTTTGGACTTCTAAGCAAATACTTCATTTTTGGAGCTCAGAGTGGTATTTGAGTGGGGAGATCCATGCCCCAAATAAAAGCCACCATGACTTTTATAGCACAGCTTGCATTTCATATTGACCTAATCCATTTAACATTTTATGTAGACTTTTAGAAATGGGAGTAATTGTTACTGAAGCTACAACTACATAAATAACTATATGTACTCTGACCTTACAGTTTGGTCTGTTTTTATTCTAAAAGTGATGGATATCTGCTTAAAGAAAATGTTTATTCCTGGGATATTATAAATCTAACCAGGAGTAATTTGATTGCTTTTTTAGTACCTTAGGATGTAGTTTAGCAAATGTTTGTTCTATTGCAGGTAGGAAAAATTAGAAACTGGTTAAAGTAAATTTGATCAAACGGGGGGATAAATTACTTTCCTGGTGCTTTCTGGTACAGTCAGTTCTTGGCCATCATCCAGAGCTCCATAGGGCATGAAGATATATCCTCTATATGCTGCCTGTAAGGAAGGATATTAATGCTTTCACCTCTGGGTATATCCTTGGAGGGCTTTCCTCTGCTTGCTAATTTCATCCAGAGTTGAGGACCAGGACTAACTAAGTATGTAAAAAAGGAACTTAACTACCTGATAGATAACTAATGCTATACTTCAGAGGCATAGTGATGGACTAGTTGCTGTTTAGAAACAAAGTTCTATTTCAGGAAATGTCAAGATAAAAATTGAGAGATCTGCCTAAAGATTCCCTAATAAGGGAAGCATTTGTTTAGAGGAAGAAAACTTTCAAGTGGTTTCTTTTATCAAATAAATTGATCTGATTAAATCAGCTAAAAGTACAGAGGTTTTCAAAATCAGGAGATAGTTTTAAATATAGCTCAGACGGTTCCGTAATATTCTCTGAAGACCATGGCAACAGCTTTCCTATTGCGTAAGCAGTGCACTCTTTGAGTCTGCATTAACCCTTGTTTGATGATTTATAAATGGGTTCATTGGACCCTGCCTTGAGTTCTGGATGAATCAAGTACATAATATATAGTAGTAGGATATTCTGACTATAGCAAGACACACCATCTCCCTGCCCTTTGTTGGAAATGTAGTCACTTGGAGCATTTTCAGAATCATTATTTATGCTATTTGTATAGTGTAACTATTAATAACTTTTTTCTTGCTATTGGAAAACTTTTAGCATTCTTATGATTGAAAGGGTTATGTTCAATTCATATGTGTGTATCTACATCACCATACAGTATGGTGGGCAAAATAATAGGTCTCAGTTCTGTAAATAGTAGGCAAAAATAAGTGTGTTGAATTTTTCATGGGGTTTCAGTTAATTATATGCATGCTGCAAATGGAATCCTCTCAGTTGTCAGTATTAAGAAAAGCTTTTAGTTTTTTTTTTTAAATTATTATCTTTGAAACCCCCTTGCAGAAGGGTTATATTTCTAATTACCTGTAACATATTTTAAGAATAATACCGTAAAACTTATTTAGTGGGAAATGTGCATCAGTATTTGTATTATCTTGCCAAAGCCTCTTAGTAAAACATACTGTGTTCCTGGAATCAGGTGGGTGTATAATTGTGAAAAGAAACGCTTTTTTTGCTTTTTCTTCTGCTTTCATCCAGACACATTATGCAGTACGTGATACCATTGCACTGTGTACAGCCGAATCCATTGATACTCTTCGAGCAGCAATTGAATGTGAACAGCCTCAACCTGACCTCTACAAGTAAGAGTCACCTGGTTTCATGTCAGTGCTGTCTGTTGGCTATGCTTCTCTTTGCCACCAGTATTGCCAAGAAACACCCACCACTTATCAGCCTACTGTCATTTGTGTTTCTATGAGCTGTTCCTTCCTTCTGGCAGTGAAATGAATCAAATCAGCTTTGTTCACTACCAGCCTCAGAAAAATCGTTGTGGGCCAAGGCATCTTACTTGTGATTTTTCTTTTATTTTTGTTATTTGTAAACATGGACATCCATCAAATTTTAAGATTCTGTCTTCCCATAAGGCTGCTCTATCAGACCAATGCAGTTACCAGAGTTAATTAAAATAAAAATATTTAGTTGTCATCCAGCATTAAAGAGACAAGAGGATATGGGGCTGTGCAATTAGTCAGCACCGAATCCTTTTTTATGATGATCTTGAAGTGAGGATTACAAACAGGCCGTTTCTTGTCCATAGCAAACAGTTAAGTTGAGGGATCAGTAAATGGTGTAATTTCCTCTATTCTACCATGTTTAGGCTCCCTGGAGTAGGTTCATCGTTAACATTCATTGTGGATTGTCAAGCGTTTGGCATTTGACTTTAAGACTGGTTGATTAGATCATGGTGCTAATGACGGTAGAATAACAGATTTTATCCCCAAGTGGACCAATTAATTTCATTCTTGTCCACCGTTACAGATGGCATCCATAACCCATGCCAGCCATCTTGTTAATGCATGATGTTGGTCATAATGGGGGACAAAGTAGTTGAATACGGCTCACACTAATTGCCCAGTAGTGGGAAAACAAAGCATTTATCCTACTGCATTTTCCCATCTTCCCTGTTTTCCTTCTTCTGTATCCACCTTGATACTAGGAACTAGGGCCACAAAGTAAAACAGATGTTCTCTGCCTTCAAGGAGCTCACAGTGAGCAAAGGAAATAAAACAGTAATGCCAAGCCTATAATAAGTGCGATAATAGAGTTGAGTGCAAGGCCCATGGAACCACAGAAAAGGAAGTAACAGATTCTGCCTGAGTTAGAAAATAATACACACCTTTCAAATTTCTAGGGCAAACCCCCAAAATTGTCATTTTCCTTATATATGAAGGAGAATTTTAGGGCAGAGAAGGTTGTTCCAAATTAATCTAGACTAGATTGAGTGCCCTTGCTATATGACTTAAGAACACTGTACTTCCACTTCTTAGCACTAATAACTTCAACACTGCAATTACCTGTTTACTTGTCTGTCTTCCCTACTAGACTGTGAGCCGTGGGAGGGCAAGGAGCATGCCTTTCTTTCTTACCAGTGTATCTCTAGCACCTAGTACCGTACTGGCACAATTAATCTATGATGAAAGAATAAGCAGACTATCATACTTTCTGTATATAGTAATATAAAATAGTTCTTTTTTTTTCTGGGAAACAAAAACAAATGCTATTTATAATCTATATTGTAAAGCACTCATAGCACTCTTGTTAAGGAATGGTTAGGTCTTTTTTTGCAGAAGAGGAAATAGAGGCACAATAAATTCACAAGTGTTTATGATGTAGTTATCATATACCTAGCCATATTAAGTGATTAGGTTAAGCTCAGTATTGAGATCAGCTGCAAGACAGAGGCAAGAAATTTCCAAGATTGTAATCAAGTGTTCAGTCTATAAGACTAATGCTGTGGTTCTCAGCAGTGGGCCCTTGACCAGCAGCATCAGCATCACCTGGGAACTTGTTAGAAATGCAGATTCTCACCTGAATTAGAAACTCGAGCGTGGGGCTCAGCAATCTGTGGTTTAACAAGCCCTCCAGATGATTCTGATGCATGCTCAAGTGTATGAACTACACTGAACTGATGGTTTTGAAAGTTGTAACACCAGAAACCTTTCTTCACATGAATCATAAAATAGATGCCATGTTATTTTTATCAAGGAATAAAGGAGACTTATCTATACTCAGTGCCAAGTAAAGTTTCAAAATCAATTTAAAATCTTTTTTTTTTTTAACATTCTTATAAGCCATAATATTATTTTAAAAATCAGTTTAAAACGTTACACACCTTACCGGTTCAACACGACTTTACTTCAGAAATATAACAGGCTTTTGTAGTTCATTTGGAAAGCCTGGTGGTGTAGTGGTTAAGAGTTCAGCTGCTAGCCAAAAGGTCAGCAGTTCGAATCCACCAGGTGCTCCCTGGAAACCCTATGGAGCAGTTCTACTCTGTCCTGTAGGGTCACTATGAGTCGGAATTGACTTGATGGCAAAGGGTTTGGTTTGGGGTTTGGTAGTTCATTCAGAACTGTCTCTTTCGCATTATTTGTATTTTGATTCTTTCCCACATTTGTTGTATATGGATTTTACCTGGATGTAGAAAACACATTTGCTATTATGTTCTTTTTACAGGTTTGTTGGGCGAATCAATATCTATAGTAATAGTCTTGAAGCTGTTGCCAGGTTAGTTATTCCCTTACTCTGTCCTTTTGCGGGAGGGGTATATTTCTCTTTTAAGGCCATTATAATAGTCAAATACCTTTCTTTTTAGAAAGAGATATAAAGGTGAATAAACCTGGAGTAACTAGCCAGTGTCCCACTGATGGGTCTTAAGTAACTATTCTTGTGACTAATAAAGTCTCTGAGTGTGTGTAGCAGGGTGGAGGAGTGGTAGGGAGGATGTTGGAAATAATGCTTAGGGTTGACATAATAGCAGAGCTTCAGACACTAACTGATATTCCCAAACCTGTTCTGTCGTGTTTATTGTCCTTGGTTGTGTGGTGGCTGACGATGTTGGAAGTATACTTGGAGAACAGCGGTTTAAGGGAGAGTAATTGAGGTACTGGGCAGTGGGCACAATGCTAGGAGAATTACTTGGACTTAAGTAAAATGGAAGACTGATCATTTATAATTGGGTAGTTTATACAAAAAGGGTTGTTCTCTTCTCCTGTCTATAATCCAGTTATTACCTCAACTTTTCCACTCGGCCTTTATAGCCACAGTGAAAATGAAGTAAAATAATTGCAAGGTGCCTGGTGATCCCCCAAAAGTCAGTTTATTCTCTACAAATGAGCCAGTGTATCTTCCCACCTGACACTAGCTTTCCCAGTCACTTTTATCTGTCACCCCGTTTCTGTTTCTCACTGTCTGCTTCTCTGCCCTGTTCTTGTTGTCTGTGACTTAGAATGCTTTTATCTCTGTGCATCTCTTTATCTCTGTGTTGTTGGCTACTCTCGTACTGTGCTTCCATCTGTGCTGTATCCGCAAGTGACTTCAAAGGAGGGGGGATCTTTGCGCTTTTCCTGGGGAGTACACACATACTCTAAGTAGACAGATAAATTCTGATCCCCTTGGAGATAGATGTGTGCCAGGGCAAAATATGTCCCCAGAGTTGATGATGTGTTGGGTTGTTTGAATAAGCTGTGTTCATTTTTTATTTAGGTCTTTGGGACCTGAAAATCTCTTACTGAAAGGAGCTACGCTAAAATCTACCAAGAAGATATATGGTGAATAATTTTTAAGATGTACTTATCAGAAATATGCTTTGTAAAGCCAGCGAATAAATAGTGCATGTTAAAAATTGAACTTGGCAGATATTGCTGTTAAACAAAAACCTATTTTAGGTGTTGGTAATTTATAAGATGGTGAATTTACATGAAATATGACAACTAAACTATATAGAATTAAATTATACTATAAATGTTACACCAACTGGTGAGTAGAAGAGGGCTTAGAATTCCCACTTTTATGGACATAAAAATTAATAGAGCTGACTAGGTGAGGAGTTGGTTGGCAAGGTCAGTTGTAACCTAGTTTTCATTGCATTCTCTTATTCCATAGGAGTTGCTGTTTACACTGGGATGGAAACCAAAATGGCTTTGAACTACCAAGGGAAATCTCAGAAACGTTCTGCTGTCGAAAAGTTAGTGTGCACCACCATTTCTTTAGTCATTATTGATCTGAAAGAGTTTCTTCCTCAGTAATTCCAGATAACAACCGTAACACGAAACAGCGTCAGTATTAATCATAATAACAGCTACCACTTTGAGCATTTTTTATTTTCCAGAAACTCTACTCAGTGATCTGCATATGTGATTTTGTTAATCCTCCAAACAACTGTATGAAGTAATTCCTATTAGCTCTTCTGCTTTACGGATGAGGAAATGATCTCAGAGATGTTAAATTACTTAGCTAAGCTTACACCACTATTAAGGGGAAGAGTTTATTTGAACTATAATTTAGATTCATTCCCTTTTGCTACTGGAACTAATGGTTTGGGGTCATCTAGTTGCAATATGCTGCAAAGAGGTTCTAAAACATAGATAGTAGTCTCCTGACAAGTATCGAAGATTTGGTAGATCTTCAAGCCATGTGCCACTGGCATGGACCTCTCCATGGTTGCCATCCAGTATCTCTTTCCATGGGTCTGCTTTCAGACTGATCTGAAAGACTCCACAGTGAGCTTAAGGATTTCACATTTGCTGTCCTCTCTCTGAGGAGCCCTGTAGGCACAGAGGTTAAGTACTCGGCTGCTAACCAAAAGGTCAGCAGTTCAAACCCACCAGCCTCCTCGCAGGAGAAAGATGTGTCAGTCTGCTTCCATAAAGATTACAGCCTTGGAAACCCTATGGGGCAGATCTACCCTTTCCTATGGGGTTGATATGAGTTGGAATCAACTCGTTGGCAATGGGTTTCATTTTGGTTTATTCTTTCTCTACCCGAGACCTTTAGGATTCAGAGACAAGCTTCTCCTTCTAAAAGGGTTGGGACATCTGGCTTTTTAAGCTAAAAGTGGCAAACTCAGTAGGAGGCAACTGGGGAAAGCTCACAGATTTACTAGCCAAGACGTGTGGTCTTAGTTGAGGTAAACCAGAAAACCAAGCAGCAATTCATCTGGGAGATCTGGAAATGAGATATCTCTATAAAGGCTGAGATAAGCTCTTCACACATTTCTGGCTAACAGAAACAATGTGCATACCTAGGGGAGATCCAAGAGGGCGCAGCAAATAGTAAAAGTCAAGAGAGACTTGAGAACTGGCTGCAGCGTTGAATGTGTTCCCCAACCCACACATTAATCAATTAGCAACTAAGTTATGCAGATACAAGGGAGACCCCTAGAAAGTCCGCCTAACAACAACAAAACAAAGACAAACAGGATGCCCAGACCAAAACTGAAAGAGAGAAAACATGAATTACCAAATACAGGAATGAATGCATGAATATCACTAAAGATCCTAAAGAATAAAAAGGATTTTAAAGGAACATTTCACTGGACGTTAGTTTCCTCCTCTATAATGTGATGTTGGCATGCTTGGATTTAATGCCAGGGAAAAGGGGAGAAATCTTTGTCATGGCCCAGTTGGTCTTCACTCCTCAGCTATATGGGGCATAATTCCAAGGAGATGTCAACAGGTGTGTACATCAGTGAGGACCAGCCTTTTAATCACTTATCAATCCTTGTCCTCAGAATTCACTGTATCCTTTCCCTTTGCAACACGTACTGCCACATACAAAAATCTCTGTAACCGCGTACTTCAGGGTTTCAAGTTGATAATAACTTGGAATAGTTAATGGCGTGTGTGTGTATCTCCTACACCTTACAGGAACCTTACTAAAGGTATGTTAAGCTAGTCAGCTATTACACTTAGAGGAGCATTGGTGAACAACAAACAGTTGTTCCAGTTTGCCACTTGAGAATGATGCTACAGCTGTAATAACTGAGATTCATCCATATAGGCTTGTGCTATGGTCACACATCATACGTAAGAGACGCTTTAGATAATTGAACAGTTTAATTGATACCTGGCTGAATTCTTTAATAATTAGCTGGTTTGTAAATCCATGATCTCTTACTTTTCAGATCTATCAATACCTTCCTGATTGTGTATTTATTTATATTACTGACCAAAGCTGCAGTATGCACTACTCTAAAGTATGTTTGGCAAAGTTATCCATATAATGATGAACCTTGGTATAACCAAAAGACCCAGAAAGAGCGGGAGACTTTGAAGGTAAAATTGGTTTTATGCTGAAAGTTTTAAGTCTATCACTTTGTGACCAAGCTACCCTTTATTGAAATGCTGCTTAGAGAAATACCTCTTGTTAGCTTCTAAGTTTTCTTTTAGCTGTATGGTAGCCATAAACTATTAAATATTTAAGAAATTTTGAAGTTTTTTTTCTTTTTACTTTTGGCATCTATGCTTATTTTTTGCTCTTTAGTTAAGAGTTTTAAGCAATTTGGTAAGAAGCTGTGACATTCTAATATAATTAAAGCTTGTGATAAATCATGATAGCAGCATAATGGATACCTACATGTCAACTTTGATATCACTGATATTCAGACGGAGCCGAGAACTTAACTGAAAAAGTGTTAAGACAAAAGGTACATATGCTAAAAGAATAACAATCAAACTGCGGGTATTCCTTTTTTTAAATTTTTTTTTTCGTGCATTAGTTGAAAGTTTACAGAGCAAATTAGTTTTCCATTTGATAGTTTGTAAATAAAGTGTTCCCTAATATTGGTTTCATCCCACACAATGTTTCAGCACTCTCCCCATTTCCGTCCTAGAATTTTTGTTTCCTTTCGTTCTCATTTTCTATCTCTTCCTGCGTTCTCATCTTTGCTTTTGGGCAAATGTTTTTTATCTCATATAATTGATTGTTTTAAGGAGCATGTTCCTCTCGGGTGTTATTGTTTATTTTATGGGCCTGTCTATGGTTTGGCTGAAAGGTGGTCTCTGGGAATGGCTTCAGTTCCAGTTCAGAAGGAGCTATAGCCTCAGGGGTTCCTCCAGTCTCTGTCAGACCAGTAAGTCTGGTCTTTTTTGTGAATTTGATTTTTTGTTCTACAATTTTTTTCCCACTCTGTCCAGGACCCTCTGTTCTGATCCCAGTCAGAGTGGTCGGTAGTGGTAGCCAGCCACCATCTAATTCTTCTGGTCTTGGGGTCGTGTAGGCTGTAGTTAATGTGGTCCATTAGTCCTTTGGACTAATGAGTCTTTAGTTTTCTTCATTCTCCTTTGTTCCGGACGGTAAGAGACCAATAGTTGTATTTTAGATGGCCGCTCGCAAGCTTTTAAGACCCCAGACGATACTCACCAAAGTATGATGCAGAACTTTGTCTTTATGAAATGTGTTATGCCAGTTGACATAGATGTCCCCCGAGTCTATGGCCCTTTGCCTTTGAGCTTAGGAACTTCATCCTGTGAGGTGTTTGATTATGTCTAAGAAGCTGCCCTGACTGTGGCCCTTGAGGGTATTCTTAATTGTTGTTCTCACATACTGTGATCATTTGTATTACAATGATATAGTACATTGGGAAGTTTCTTTATAGTAAGAGCACTGTTTTTGGCATTGAAGTAAAAAAAAAGGCTATTTCTTTATATTACACTTGTCTGATGGGACTGTGCATCTAATTAGCATGAGCTGTTTCTTTTGTTTTAGGTTTTGAAAATGTTCAAGAGCAGTGTTTTTAGCTTTGAAATAAAAAAAGGCTATTTCTTTATATTACACTTGTCTGATGGAACTGTGCATCTAATTAGCATGAACTATTTCTTTTATTTTAGGTTTTGAAAATGTTCACCGACTTCCTATCATTTATGGTTCTGTTCAACTTTATCATTCCTGTCTCCATGTATGTCACAGTAGAAATGCAGAAATTCTTGGGCTCCTTCTTCATTTCATGGGATAAGGACTTTTATGATGAAGAAATTAAGGAAGGAGCCCTGGTTAACACATCAGACCTTAATGAAGAACTTGGCCAGGTTAGAACACATTTTTACTTAAAATAAGTTAACGCGCTGAAGATACGGTTTTTTATCATCTGAATTACCAATGTGTGTGGCCATTTCACGTTTGGAAATATGATTCAAAGGAAATTCCTTTGTGTAGGCATGTAATGAAAGCAAGCAAGGTTTTCATAGCTATAGCATCAGTTCTTTTGCTGGCAATTTTGGGAAATGTTTCAATTTATGTGTTAAATTTGAATGCTCCAGAAATTCTCGTTAAAAATTACCTGTTGATATTGTTAGATTATGGGTTATTGCTTTGGAAGAGGAATGTATAGTTTTTATCACTATCTTTAACCATTTGGGGATAGAATATGGGATAGTAAATTTTACAAATTTTATGAATTTATTTTATAAATGCATTTTGTTTCATAAATAAAATTGACCAGAGTTTCATGAATAAAATTGACCAATTGACATTTTCTTGGTACATTTCTGATAAGATGGATCATAGACCTTGCAAGCAGAGTTGTTTATTCCAGTACAAGAATTTAAATGAAGGGAAAATGTGAGGGCATGCACTCCTCAAAATGCTTTTTGCTTCATATTCCAATGTAACCTAGGCTGTGACCTTGTTTCTAACCCAGGCACATTTATTTTCTAGTGCAGTGCAGTCCAGCTGTGAATCTTCAAGTGATGACTGCTTAGGTGCTTTTCTTATCAAAATTGAGAAAGTGTTTTCCCTTTGTTTGAATTTAGCGTGTTGTGTAACGATCTTCACAAGCTGAGGGGGTTTTTTGGCTTGCATTTAATTTTCATGATATTTAGAATGTCAAGGCTGTAGAAATGTCATTTCTGTGACTAGGAGATGCAGATTCTGTTAATGGAACTATGTGGATGGAACAGGGCCTCACATTTGTTTTAAATGGTACTGATTTGCACGTACACCTCAAAGCTCTCTCTTCCATAATTTAATCCCCCACCCCACCCCACCCCCGCCTTCAGCTCTTAACACAGCCCTCACCTAAGTAACCAAAGTAACATCTGCAGCCAGCAAGGGTGAAAGAACTCTCAAGATAACATTTTGTTTAGACCTCACCTCAGGACTCTGGTATCCCAGACCATGGGGTTTGCATCCCACAAAGTTACGATACTGCAGTATTAAGGATTGGACAAGAAATGAATGAATGTTTTTTCCCTTAGATATCATTCCCAAAAGAGTCTTTGTGGGTGACCTGAGCTGCCACAGTGGACCCAAGCCTTTTTAAAGCACTTTTCATCAAGGGATAGCGTTAACTGAGTAGAAGTACTCTAGTCCTTGTAAAAGGCATCAGTCTGCAGGGGTTTTGCATTTATATATATATATATATATATATATTTCCTTGAGCATACCAGCCACCTCTGGCGACTCTTTTCCCTGACATCCGATTTATTGGCTGACTCTGGATGTTGAATAAGTCCTGGTGTGACTGCTTTAGATTAGTGCCTGGCTAGGTGAATGAACTCACCCAAGGATGAGTATGGCCAATGTCGGGCTAGCTTTAACTACTCCTGCAAATAGAACAGTCATCATTCCACATGCAACACAATGCTCACTAGAGACAGATACGATGCCCAGGCTGGTTCCACTTGGTGAGACTCTTACCTCCTTCTTACAGATCCCCACCTCAGTAGATTCCATATTACTTGTGGGAATTGCAATCTTGTTCTTATTATCTAGACTGTATTAACACTACAGAAAGTAAAGTAGAGCTTTGGGTAATGATCTGGTAAATTTGATCTGTGAAAAGATGCCACCATTTCCATTTCAGCTACCACCCCCTTCATCCACCAAACCCTGCATTTCTGGGTGTGATTGTCATTTAGTGAAATCACTAACTTCAACAGCCAAACCAGCACTTCAATTAATACGGTGTAAAAACAACTTACCATCATTATCAGCTTGTATGTGTAGAAACTACCTGATCGAAAATGCAAAGAAGTCTTGAAATAGTTTCTTAGGCCATTTAGCATTCAGTGGACTGGTACACACAAAATTAAGTATAACCAGTTTCCGCTTTGATGAGTCATGATTTAAGATGTACGGGACTTTTATGTTACTAAAAGTAGTGTTGGTTAGTTTCCATTAATACCACTGCAAACACTTGCTTCACCTCTTTAAAAATGACCCACATTGGTATTACAAAAAGGTAGAAAGATATTTTTGGAACAGTGTTTGACATGAGAAACAAAGGGAAGTAGACTGATCAGTTCAGTTGGAACATAATGGGATCTTTTATGATCAGACCTCAGTCTTTTAGATAATCAAATGGTTCCAGCCCATCTTGAAAAAATTGTGGAGGTAGCCTCCTGCTTTATATCCCCTCCCAGTCCTGGGACTGTGCTTAATGGTGTGACTCTGTAAGTATATACTCTGATTCCAGTAATTCAATCCAGTGATTATTTATTCAGCTTCTGTTGTGTGTCTGAGATGTGTTCTAGGTACAGGGGTTACTATTGTGAAGTACATAAGAAATCCTCTAATGGTTCACCATCTAGTTGGGGAAAGACACGCGTCATAATCAATCAGAAAAATTAGGGAATGTAGGGTAATGAAAAGAGTCCAATACTGTGTGATTTTGGTCAAGTCAACAGCAATAATAATCAACATCTATATTGTACCTTACGGCTTACAGAACGTGTTTATCATTGAGCATTATTTTTTAATCTTTATAGTCTTATTCAGTAGGTATTATTATTTAAGAGAGGAAGAGATTTTCCTAGGTCACAAAGTTAATAGGTAGTGGAGCCAAGACTCTAGTCCAAGTGTTCCATTAGGCTAAGCCATATGAAAATGCCAATATTTGACCAATTTCGACCTACAAAATTAGCGATTTCATATGTTCAACCTGTAGTTCAGGGCTTTTTGTATCCTGTAGCAGATATCTCACCTTTAGCTTTCCGTCCATAAAATCATGGCTTTGCGCTTGCCATGTAGAGGGGCCTTTCCAGCAAACTCAAACCCATCATTAAAGGGGTAGAGGCTGCTGTTTAAAAGTCAGAGTCAAGCAGTAGCCTCTCCCTTTCTATTCCTCTCTCTCCCCTTTAAATATGAGAGTATGTTTAAACCAAGTCACAGCTGGCCCCTCCTCCCACTTGCCTGAGTATATGGCATATATTAGAGCGGTGGTGTGGTTCTCAAAGTGTGATCCTAGGACAAGCAGCATCAGAACTTGCTAGAAATGCAAGTTATCTTCTGATTTCTACTGAATCAGAAACTCTGAGGATGGAGTCCAGCAATCTGAGTTATAACAACCCCTCCAGGTGATTCTGATTCATGTTGGAGTTTGATAACCACTGCATTAGGGTATAATTTGTTGGCCTATACTTGGGAGATGAAATGTACACAGATCCATACTGCACAGACTCTTCCATAGAGGCAAACAAATTGAACTTTATACATTTTTTTATTTGTGAATTTTTTTTCCTTTTTTCTTTATTGTACTTTAGATGAAGGTTTACAGAACAAACTAGCTTCTCATTAAACAGTTAGTACATGTATTGTTTTATGACATTGGTTAACAACCCCACAACATGTCAACAGTCTCCCTTCTTGACGTTGGGTTCCCTATTACCAGCATTCCTGTCCCCTCCTGCCTTCTAGTTGTTGTCCCTGGACTGTTGTGCCCCATTAGTCTCATTTTGTTTTATGGGACTGTCTACTCTTTGGCTGAAGGGTGAACCTGGGGAGTGACTTCATTACTGAGCTAAAAAGGTGTCCGGGGGCCATACTCTCGGGGTTTCTCCAGTCTCTGTCAGGCCAGTAAATCTGGTCTTTTTTTGTGAATTAGAATTTTGTTCTACATTTTTCTCCAGCTCTGTCCAGGACCCTCTGTTGTGATCCAGTCAGAGCAGTCAGTGGTGGTAGCCAGGCACCATCTGGCTGTACTGGACTCAGTCTGGTGCAGGCCGTGGTAGTTGTGGTCCATTAGTCCTTTGGACTAATCTTTTCCTTGTATCTTGTTCTGTTCATTCTCCCTTGCTCCCGAAGGTGTGAGACCAGTGGAGTATCTTAGATGGCTGCTTACAGGCGTTTAAGACCCCAGGCGCTACTCACCAAGGTAGAATGTAGAACATTGTCTTTATAAACTGTTATGCCAGTTGAGCTAGATGTTCCCCGAGACCATGGTCCCCACAACCCTCCACCCAGCAATTCAGTCCCTCAGGGAGTTTGGATGTGTCTATGGAGTTTCCATGACCTTTCCTTGTACTGGTTGTCCTGGCTTCCCCAGTATTGTGTACTGTCTTACCCTTCACCAAAGTTACCACTTATCTATTGTCTATTTAGTATTCCCCCCACCCCTCGCAACCCTCGTAACCATCAAAGATTGTTTCTTTTAGTGTGTAAACCTTTTCTTGGGTTTTTATAACAACGATCTCATACAATATTTGTCCTTTTGTGATTGACTACTTTCTCTCAGCATAATGCCCCCCAGATTCATCCATGTTGTGAGATGATTCATCATTGTTCTTTATTGTTGCATAATACTCCATTGTGTGTATGTACCATAGTTTGTTTATCCATTCATCTGTTGATGGGCATCTAGGTTGTTTCCATCTTTTTGCTATTGTGAACAATGCTGCAATGAACATGAGTTGCACCTTATATTTTTAAAGCTACCACCCTTGAATACTCATAAATAAGTTTTCTGAATAGGTTAATGCTCACCTGAGTGTAGAAGGTACAACAACCCTGGACAACCTTCAGAGGGAAATGAAGGTTAATAATTTTGATTAAAAAAAAAAGTCCCACAGAGTTTCATTTTAGCTGGAAAAATTGAGACAATACACGAATAATACCACTTGGATTAATTTAAAGAAAGAATTCAAACTTGGCTGGCTAACAGGAGAAAAAAAGAGGAAGATTGGAAGGCTATATTTGTGCCAGTGCTGCTACCATGAAAGGCTTTGAAAAATAACTAGAAAGCAACTACTGCTGGAGTTCATCTCTTTCTGCCTTACATAATAAAAACCTTAATCTTGTGCTTATGCTTGTTCTTGTCAGCCCATAATTTTAACTATTTAAGCATAAATTGCCAAAAAAAAGAGGATAAAATTGTGGGTTTCCAAAAGCCAGATGTTATAAATAGAAGAGGTAGAAACTGAGATAAAATGGAAATGCTCAGTGTCGTTTATTTTACATGGAAAATGTATTTCATAGCTTATTTTTTCGATTGTCTATGAAAATATGCTGATATTATACTTTGACCCATCCTTATAAATTCTGTCCCCCCTCATCCCCCCCCACCAACCTGGAAACATTTTTAAAGAGTATCTGAAAATATACATAGTATGTGGAAAGAAATTTAAATTGTGTTTTTGATCACTATTAACTTACTGTGTCTTCTGATTAGGTAACTTTTACATTATTTTCCTGTCCATCTATATAGTCTGTAACTCTTATGTACATTATAAGATTGCAGTGCATTTCACTTCAATCCAGTATTTTTAAAGAAGATTTTACTTTACAAGGGAAAAAAAATCCCATCAGTTTTTATTTTATTTTGTTATATTTCAGTTAACTTAAGTTTCTATCAAATATTTTTTTCAATGGGTAATGCACATACCAGCATATAATGTGTGTGTGTGTGTGTGTGTGTGTAATAACTGATCTGTATATCCTTGTTTCCCACTTTGAAAATTGACTTTTCTGATGTAGCTTCTTTACATCAAAACAGGTAGGCGTTAAATTGAAGGGTTTTTAAATGTTGCATGGAGTCAAATAAGTCAGTCCAAAAAGGAAAATATTGTATGATCTCACTTAATGAAGTATCGAGAACAGGCAAATGTATAGAGACCAAAGTTTATTAGTCGATACCAGGGATGAGAGGGAGGGGGCAAGGGAGAGTCACTGCATAGGGGCACTGAGCATCTGTTAACGGTGATAAAAAAAAAAAAATTGGAAACAGATTGTGGTGATGGTTGCACGACATGATGAGCATAATTAATGTCATTGAATTGTACATGTGAAAAGGGTTGAAATGGGAATTGTTATATATATTTGCCATAATAAAAAAATTGAAGGGTTCTTAATTTGATAAAATACCCCCCCTTTTTTTTTTCTTTTGAGAGCCCTGGTGGTGTAGTCGTTAAGAGCTACGGCTGCTAACCAAAACGTTGGCAGTTCGAATCCACCAGGTACTCCTTGGAAACCATATGGGGCAGTTCTACTCTGTCCTATAGGGTCGCTATGAGTTGGAATCGACTCGACGGCAATGGGTACCTTAGACGTGATGCTATTTCAGTTTCTCTAAAAATACTCCTTCAATTCTCAGTCATTTGATAGTGTTCCCTCTGTAATTACATGGCATTAGAGAAGTAGTCTTAGAAGAGGTGATTTTCTGTGGATATGAAAATAACCCTGCCTTACAGCTAATGAAAAATTAATCACACCGAAGGAAAGGAGAAAGAATATGTTTCTGTCTTTGTTTTTAGGTGGATTATGTATTTACAGATAAGACTGGAACACTCACTGAAAATAGCATGGAATTCATTGAATGCTGCATAGATGGATACAAGTATAATGGTGTAACTGAGGAGGTTGATGGACTCTCTCGAACTGATGGACCCTTAACACATTTTGACAAAGCAGATAAGGTGGCGATTTCTGTGTTACCATTTTACATTGAGAAATTAATCTGTAGTGCCTGTGTTAACGTGCATAGGAGAAATAGTTTCCCATTAGGCGCATGACATAGTTTTGAATAGCCATTTGTTCTTTTGGATTTTATCTTTCCTGTTTTACTCATACCTCTGGAGTTTGTAAACAAGTAGAATTTATAAGTTGAGAGAATTGTGTGAAAAGCATTTGGGTAAAACTCTCCTTGTTTGTCTGTGTGCTCATGATTTTTGTGTGCTTTGTCTTTAAAATATTAGCTCCTCCAAGAATGATGTCTGTCTGCGTCATAAAAATCCCAGAAGTGTCGAAGCATTAAATGAATCAGAGTCTTCCTGCACCTGAGCTATTGCTGGATTGTAAATTAGATACTGAATGAACTCTTTAGGCCATGGTGAAGTTTCTGCTGTGGTATTAGGTGGCACTGCAGTACCCTGAGTGAGTTAATGTGTCCCCTAGGGCATGCTAGCTGAGTACCAGGGACTCTGTTAGGTACTAGGAAGATGCATATCTCATATGTTAGGCATTTATGAATTCTGTTAGTCCATTTCCTGGAGGTTATAACATTCTTTCACATTAATGTCTCTTTCTCTTTTCACTGAGTAGTTACTGAGTGATTGAAGTAAAAATACTATTGTCTCTTTTATTTCTGTTCTACAGAATAAAGAAGAGCTCTTTCTGCGTGCTTTGTGTTTATGTCATACTGTAGAAATTAAAACAAATGATGCTGTTGATGGAGCTACAGAATCAACTGAATTAACCTATGTCTCCTCTTCACCAGATGAAATAGCTTTGGTGAAAGGAGCTAAAAAGTAAGCACTTATACTTCTCCCGAGAAAGCAAAATCACAGGAGCACAGGAATCATTTTGTTTTCTGTTTACATCAATATCTTTATCTTGTAAATCTCTTTAATTAATAATTAATAAAAAGCCAAATTTCTTTATTTGAAAGTTTGAAAAATTCCCAAACCTAAACAATTAAGACCAAAAAGAAAATGAGGATGCATAGATATAACTTGCATTACTTTTTATACAGGCCTGCTGGAAAGTTCAAGTGTTCATGCTATATTTTGAAAATCGTGTAACAGTGGCTGCTTTTAATACAAGTTGTTATTTCTGAAATATTTCATAGTCATTCTGATTTCCCCCGGCGGTTTTGACGTCATTTGCTAACTGACAGTCCAGTTTTACCCATGAGGTCTAAGATGATTAATTGGCTAAAAGGTCACCTAACATGTTGGCTGCAGAGTTGGAATTATAAATTGCTTCTCCCTTGATTACAATTTGTAGCTGGGACTTGGCTCTGTGTTACTAACTCGGCCAGTAAAGGGAGGTGGAGTCTATGAGATCGTATGAAGGCAAAGAAGCGAATAAACAAGTATCAGTAACCCCAGTGCGAGGGAAAATTAATTGTTCTTTGTTGTTAGGTGCCGTCGAGTCGGTTCCGACCTATAGCGACCCTCTGTACCACAGAAGGAAACACTGCCTGATCCTGCACCATCCTCACAGTTGTTGCTATGTTTGAGCCTATTGTTGCAGCCACTGTGTCAATTGTTCTTCAGAGATTAACAGCGGGTTTTTTTTAAATTGTTTTTGATAGGTACGGGTTCACATTTTTAGGAACTCGGAATGACTGTATGAGAGTAGAGAACCAAAGAAAAGAAATAGAAGAGTAAGTAGCACTGTGTGTTTCATGTTTCTTGTTTCCTAACCCCGCAGTAAACATTACATGCATTCAGGAAGGGTACCAAAGGAAATTGGATGTATCTATAACTACGGGACTTAGCTCTCACATTTCAGAGTTTCATGGAAATGTAGCTGGAGTAGGGGAAGCCATTTTCATATAATGGCAGAAACTGAGGTTTGAGGTAGAAATAATTCCGGGTTGGTTCACATATGGATCCAGTAGTCTTGAATGAACCCCCTTTCTAGGGTCTGCATAGACTTTCATTCTGGAATTTAGATGCCATTCCAGGTCTCTAACATGAGCTGTAAGAAAAATTGGTGAACATTAATGAAACTTTCTGCCCAGAGCCCAGCCAATCACTCTAGGATTGCAAGCCCAGACAATAGTAGAGCTTTGGTATTACCAGAAGCTTTGTCCTATTCTGGATGCTCGAATGTGAACTTCAGGGAAAGTACTCTGATGCAGTTGTACCCCCGCATTTCTTTCTTTTGCTACAAAGACCCCAATAAACAAAGCCACTTTGGCTTAATGGCAGATATTAATTAGGCTCTGTGATTCATTTGAATTTCTTCATCTGAACTTGAAGTGTAATTATCTCATCTGATTTCCATTCCAGCCCCTGGGATCTCATGAGATCCATCTCAGAAACCTGTAATACATGGAGAGGCATTGGGGAATGTACCCTGGTGGGGAGGGATACTCAGAAGCCCAGAGGAAGGCTCTGGGACCTGACTGCCAGGGGCCAAGTTTCATTGTCAGAATCCAGATCCTAGCCACTCCACAACAGTGCCCCCATCTGGCCAGCACCAAATGAGGTGTCATATATGGATGGCTTAAACACACAGGAGCGAGTGTGTCTACATGTGCACACATACCCCAAAACCAGTAACCCTTTCACTCCCACCAAAAACAAAAACGAGCCACTGTAACTACATAGTAAATCTTTTATGTCAAATAGATGTATCCAAGTTGTTTATTTTCAAGAGAATGTTCCCTTACAATGTTCTAATCATTAACTCTTATTTAACTCTCCTGTGTTCTTTCACCTGATTAATAGCTCAGCCATCCACACATAATCTTGATCATATCATTCCTCTTTTTAAACCCTTCAATGGCTCCCTATTGCTCTTAGGATAAAATCCCAAATCCCTGACAAGACCCACAGGGTTTTCCACTCCCAACCCCTTCTTACCTCTCTTACTTCATCTCTTGCCGTTTCCCTATCAGGTAGTTTTCAGACCTTGGTGAGCTATTCAAAGTTCCCCATAGGCCATGTTCTATGCTTTTGCATGTGCCTTTCCCTCTACTCAGAATGCCATGGCCCCCTTTCTTCATCATATCATTCCTGCTGATACTGCAAAACACAGCTCAGGCAATAACCTCTTCCAGGACACCGTCCTTCAGATGGCTTCCCTGTGTCCTGTCACACCACCCCTGTGAGTGCCTCTATTACAGTACTTAGCCAGCCTGGTGGGGAGAAGATAACTTATCTCACCACCCTCTGCCTCACTCGTCATTTGGTGAGCTCCTTGAGGAAAGGGACTTGGGCAGATTCACCTCTATTACCCAGCACCTAACACTGTGCCTGGCACATAGTAGGCACTCCATAGATGTTAGTAAACTAATTGTCAGGGTAGGACTATGTCTGGATCCCTCCAGATTTGACTTGGTAAGTCAGCTCTCCTTGCTTTTGTCCCCCATTCCTAAGTAACCATTCCCTGCTTACCATTTTAACGAATGTAACGAGAGGATATAGATACCCTTAGCCAGCAGTGGTGTCCTCTGACACATGTTCTATGTGCGAAACAATTCCGAACCCAAGGGAAAGCACCAGTCATGCACACAACCAGCCACCCTTCCCGAAAGATGAGAGCTCTTTCTTCATTCACAATCTTTACATATCTCAAAGTGTTTCTGTTGTGTTTTATTTTTCCTAATGTGTCTAGGTATCTTACTTCTCTCATTTCTCTTCTCTTAAAGATATGAACTTCTTCATACCTTAAACTTTGATCCCGTCCGCCGACGTATGAGTGTAATTGTGAAGAATCAGAAAGGTATGCATTTTTAAAACTTGACTTTCTCTCTGTTTCCATTTGTCGGTTTATATTTTGATCAACTATTTCATGAAAGAAGAACATGTTATGTAGTAGTGTAGGAGTAGCTAAAGTCATGCACAGCAGTAGCTTTTGTATATTCCTTCACGTCTTTATTTAAGTGCATATGTTTAGTTTGCCAAATTGTCAATGGCACAACCCCTGATATGATAGTATGTGCATTTTCATGGAAACTGAAGAACTGTGTTCCTCCACCCTGGGTGTTCAAACAGGAACCTGAAAAGGATGACTTTTTAAGCTTCAGGGTATGATTAGAGTCCCCAGTAATGTCTACATGCAATTGGATGGTCTGGGATTACTGACAGCAGAATACTTGAGTGAAGAAGTTTCTGGTTATCCCTCTCTGACCTTCCTAATTCCCTTTCTGCTTTCCACTCCCTGGGAGCAGGTGAGGTAGACGTGACTAAGGGCCAGTCCTCTTGGAAGGGACATTTGGGTTTTACTCCAGTGCTGTGGGCGGTTTGTATGACAGACTAAGGTGTGCCCTTTGCAGGGGAACCTGTGCCATTATCCCAGGACTCCCCCATCTCCTTGGCAGGCACCATGGTGGATGCCTTCTGCTTGTATTCAGCAAGGCCCTTGAGGAAGCACTCCTGCTTTATTCGCGGGCTCTCAGATAATTGTGTGTGTGTGTGTGTGTGTGTGTGTGTCTGTGTGTGTCTGTGTGTGTCTGTGTCTGCGTGTGTCTGTGTGTGTCTGTGTGTGTGTGTGTGTCCAGGTGGTTTGTTTTTAAGAAAAATAGCCTTGACTTATTTCCCAAATAACTGGTCTAAATTAACTGGTCTGAATTCTTTAAAATGAGAATACTTTCTGGGAGGATACAGACAGACACTTGGGGGAACATATCCCACTTTTTGATGCTTTGTGGTATAACTGTAAAGTTATGAAACTGATTTTACTACGTGAGTGTGGAATTTGTTTTGTGACTTTTAAACACATTTTGGAGGTGTGAGAGAAAATGCGGGGAGGGAACAACATTTGAAATACCATTGTTGTGCGCATATCCACATATGAGTTCTACTGCAAATGATCAGATGTCTGGGGAAGTGATCTGCAAGAGGCTCCAACCTCAGAGCCATTGTTTTTAAATTGTTAAACTCAGCTCTTTGCCTGATCAGAATAAAGTGTCTTTCATAATGCTCAACTATGAATATTTCCCTGAGTGCATGGACTGATCTAAAGTTATACTCGTACCAGTGTTCTACAGGCTACTCCCAAGTTTCCAGTAAAAACTGTCAAACCACTGTTTTAAAAGCTAACTTGTATAGTTTATTCAGAATTATTTCAGCTTGAGCTTGGTCCTTGAAATGTGTAGACGCCATATGTGCAGTTAAGACTAACATTGCCTCAATTTTAAAAAAAAAATTTTATTTTTGGTGAAAATATACACAGCAGAACACACACACATTCGACATTTCTACATGTACAATTCAGTGACATTCGTTGTCTCGATTTTTAAAGAGAATACAGATGCAGTCCTTGATGCAAGCACAGCCCTCCATGATTCAGTGGGAGGAAGTAGATTTTAAAGGAGATGCATGTTGTAAATTCCCGGTTATTAGTCTTAAGAGGTAGTGAGTATTCATTCCCCTGACAGACTGAAGGTCAAGATGTCTTGTTCCATTTGGGTGAGCATTGCAAAGCAGGCTCAGGATACACATCAGCTAGATGAGAGACGCCAGCTTAGTATTTATCTGTTATTAAAATCTCATTCCAGTCTTAAAATTCTAAGTCGAGTATCTTGGTTCTTTATTTTAGGAGACATATATCTCTTTTGTAAAGGAGCAGACTCAGCCATTTTCCCCAGAATACAAATTCCCGAACCTGAGTCAACTAAACTTAGGAATGCCATTGATTCAACTAAACAGCATGTGGAACGTAGTGCAATGGTAAGCATACCCCCTCCCCCAATAAGTAAAAGGAGAAACACTGGGTATGACTGTTGGTGGGATTGTTGTGTAAATGAAATTTTAAATGAATTTTAGTTCATTTTTGTGGTGTATCTTTTGTATTTGAGAGATTCAGTAATACTGTTTTTCTTATTTTAATCTAAAACATTATCCTGGAGCAAGTTTCTGGTCAGAACTTGAAGCCTTGAACACTTTTCAAGAATCTTTGTTTTATGTTGCTTCTGCTTTTTTTACACTCTAAGAGCTATTCTTTTGTTATTCTGAACCAAATGGAATGGTACCTTTTTACTTGCAATCTATTCTTTTGTCTTTCTTTTTTTTTTTTTTTTTTGTCAGATTTTCTCTTTTATACATGTGGGTAAAACGAGTATTTAAAGAGAGTGCATTTTGTTCAAATGTTATTTGGATAACTACAGATCTACTACTTTCCTTCTAGAATGGTTATCGGACACTTGGTGTAGCCTTCAAAAACATTGCTCCAGATGATTATGAAAGAATTAACAGACAACTCATAGAGGCGAAAATGGCCTTACAAGACAGAGAAGAAAAAATGGAAGAGGTCTTGGATGATATTGAGACAAACATGAATTTAATTGGAGCCACTGCAGTGGAAGACAAGTAACTAGAAAATGATACTCTTGTTACTTGAATGACCAGTAATTTAGGGTGGGATCTTCCCCAGATTAAGAATTTATTCTCAAATTTTGAAATCTTTCATTTAACTTTGTTGTTTAAATGGACTTAAAGATTCATTTGTTGTAACATGTATGAAAAATGATGCGATATTTTGAACTGTTTATGGGAATGATTTTTAAGTTAAATACAAATGACTGAGAAGAAAATCAGTCATCACTAAGGTCTTTTGAATATTTACTAAGCCATGCATTCATTTATGCAAACATGTATTACTCTTACTATGTGTAGAGAGCTTTGTGCTAGAGGCAACATTCGAGCTGGTACCTGGAAGAATAAGTCAGATTTTCCAGAGATGAGCAGAAAGGAAATTCAAGGAAAAGAGAACCACAGGAGAGCTGAATTCTAACCTAATGTAATAGACCAGAGCGTGTTTTTGCATACTTTGAAATAATTTTGCTTTAACTGTACAGAATGAGGTCTGCTAGCCACAGTTACAGGGCTCTAGCATTGATCTGCCTGAAAGCATGTTTAGACTCTTAATATTTTAGGAGTTTTCTAAAAATAATAAGTGCAAATTATGAGACTTAACCAAACAAAAAGTTACAAACATACATTCAACCACATTGGAAGGTATTGCAATTTTAATGAAATTCATTTAGTCTAATCTCATTGTTGTTACTCCGTGGCTAAAAGGAACCCAAAGAAAGTATCATTCTTTTTCTATCTTGCATTTCAGAATTATACTGAAGTTATCATTCAGGATGGTTGGCTTTCCTGTTCTTAAAGCTCCCCAGGGATAGGGATTTGCTAACTTCCCTCAGTATCTGCTTTAGAATGCATTTGGCCTTATATTTTTGAACCACGTTCAGTATTTGCATAGTGGGATATAAAACATGCTGAAGTGATAGTGACTAAGAACGTTTGGTGAGTTTCTGAACATTTTAGCTTAGAGTGGTGATTCTTAATTCTACCATAGGATACCAGTTATAACGCTCAAGAGTTATCACAAGACACAATAGATGGTCCCAGATAGAATGGGAGAAAAATGTAGAATAAAACTCAAATTCCTAATAAAGGCCAGACTTACTGGATTGGTAGAGACTGGAGGAAACTCTGAGACTATCGTCCTGGAATACCCTTTAAGCTTGAAAGTCAAGCCATTCCCAGTGGTCATCTATCAGCCAAAAGACAGAGTGGCTCATAAAATAAATAATATCACCTGTGAATATTGTACTTCTCTAAACAATCATCTAAATGAGACCTAAAGGTCAACATTTATCTTAGACCAAATATGAAAAGTAAGGGGGGACAAGGAAGCTAAATTAACGGAAGCAGAACAACCAGAATGAAAATAATGTGAATGCTGACACATTGTGAAAAGTGTAACCAATGTCACTGAATAATATGTATAAATAAACCAAACCCATTACCACTGAGTCGATTCCAACTCATAGCAACCCTATAGGATAGAGTAGAACTGCCCCATAAGGTTTCCAAGGAGCGCCTGGTGGATTCAAACTGCCAACCTTTTGGTTAGCAGTCATAGCTCTTAACAACTATGCCACCAGGGTTTTCGGTAATATGTATAGAAATTGTTAAATGAATACCTAATTTGCTATATAAATTTTCTCCGAACACACAATAAAATATTTAGTTTAGGTAGATAGTGAGTTTCTAGAAATTTGTCCATTTCCCTGAGGTTTTCAAATTTGTTGGAGTACAATTTTTCTGTTATGATCCTTTTAATTTCAGTTGGGTCTGTTGTGATTCACTCATCTCATGTTTTATACCAGTTACTTGCTTCCTCTCCTGTGTTTCTTTTGTCAGTTTGGCCAGTGGTTTATCGATTTTGTTGATCTTTTAAAGAACCAGCTTTTGGTCTTGTTAACTGTTTCAATTGTTTTTCTATTCTCTTTCATTTAATTCTGCTCTAATTCTTATTATTTCCTTTCTTCTGGCACTCGAGGGCTTCTTTTGCTGCTCTCTTTCTGCTTTTTCGAGTTGTAGGGTTAATGTTTTGATTTTGGCCCTTTCTTCTTTTTGAATGTGTGCATTTATTGTTATAAACTGACCTCTGAGCACTGCTTTTGCTGTGTCCCAAAGGTTCTGGTAGGATGTGTTTTCATTCTCATTGGATTCTATGAATTTTTTATTCCATCCTTAATTTCTTCTATAACCCAGTAGTTTTTGAGCAAGGTGTTGTTCAGTTTCCATGTGTTTGATTTTTTTTCCTTGCTTTTTCTGTTGTTGATTTCTACTTTTATGGCTTTATGATCAGAAAAGATGCTTTGTAATATTTCGATGCTTTGGATTTTTTTAAGGATTGCTTTATGGCCTAATATGTGGTCTATTCTGGAGAATGTTCCATGTGCGTTGGAAAAGAAAGTATATTTGGCTACTTTTTGGTGTAGTGTTTGGTATATGTCTATGAGATCAAGTTGGTTGATTGTACCATTTAGCTCTTCCATGTCTTTGTTGAGCTTCTTTCTGGATGTTCTATCCTTTATCAAAAGTGGTGTGTCGAAGTCTCCTACTACTATTGTGGAGCTATCTATCTCTCTTTTCAGTGCTGTTAGAGTTTATGTATTTTGGAGCCCTGTCATTTTGTGTATAAATATTTATTATAGTTTTGTCCTCCTGGTGTATTGACCCTTTAATCATTATGTAGTGTCCTTCCTTATCCTTTGTGGTAGATTTTATATTAAAGTCTGTTTTGTCAGAGATTAATTTTGCCACTCCTGCTCTTTTTTGAGTGTTGTTTACTTAATATATTTTAATATACTTTTTTCCATTCTTTGAGTTTGTGATGGTTAAGATTGTGTCAACTTGGCTGGGCCATGATTCTCAGTGTTTTAATGTAATCACTCCCATGATTGAATATACCGTCAGTAGCCAATCAGATGAAAGGGCGTCTCCTTGGGGGTGTGGCCCACATCTGTATTTAAGCAGATGTTCTGGCTTTTTGCTCTCTCTGGATGCTGCGGCTGCTTCCTGTCGTCTTATCTCCCGTTCTTGGTTGCTGTTGGGTAGAGTGTTCACTATAGGTCTATGAGATCAAGTTGGTTGATTGTAGCATTTAGATCTTCTGTGTCTTTATTGAGCTTCTTCCTGAATGTTCTATCCTTCACCGAAAGTGGTGTCAAACACACAATAAAATATTTAAAGAAAAAAAAAATAGAAGAACCCTATTCCATGATCAGAAGCTGACTGGAACCAGTGAGGGAAATAAAAAGAGCAATGTCACAATTTTTTCCAAACCTCATTGTTTGAAATTCGTGTTAATAAGTAAAATGATGCCAGAGATAACACTCTCAGGAGTAGGGGATATATAAGAACACCAACTGTAATAAGGTGTCAGCTCCATAATGGCTGTGAATTATAAAAATATTCTCTTTAACAAGCCTTCTTGCAGAGTTTCTGTCAGGAGTTACAGAGGATAACAAAGTTTCCTTTGTGTTCCCAGGCTGCAAGATCAAGCTGCCGAGACCATTGAAGCTCTGCATGCAGCAGGCCTAAAAGTCTGGGTGCTTACCGGGGACAAGATGGAGACAGCCAAATCCACATGCTATGCCTGCCGCCTTTTCCAAACCAGCACTGAGCTCTTAGAACTGACCACAAAAACCATCAAAGAATGTGAAAGAAAAGACCGATTGCATGAATTGTTGATAGAATATCGGAAGAAGTTGCTGCGTGAATTTCCTAAAAGTACCAAAAGAAACTGTAAAAAAAGGTAAGAAAGTGTATCAATTTCTTATATTTAGACATCGGTGAGATGTAAATCACAGTTGCTTATGCAGAAGCTTCCATTTTCTGTAATTTATCATTCTCTGTTTTTTCCTTGTAAGTTAAAACTTTCCCTGAAGACTTGGCTAATGGCCCATTTGAGATTATTTGGCATTTTCCACCTCTCCTTTAAAAAAGTTCACTTAAAAGAAGACCCTGAATTTCTCAAGGTTTAGAAACTATTTGAATTTCTAAATGTTTAGCACCTGGGTATTCCACGTTGGTATCCTGGTCTGGTCCACGTTAAGAAAAAATACTGCTTTTCATAGTCTCTTAAAATTGAACTCTCCTAACAGTTTCCATGCGTTTTGAAGTCCTGGAGCCATTTTCTCTGTGCATTCTTGTGCCTCAGAATTCCAAAGGGGGCAAAATACTTGTTAACATGGCCACATTGGCTCTGCTTTCAACTATCTGCTTGAGACCTAGGGGTCTCAAGGAAAGCTGCTCATCTGCTATAGTTCAAATGCCCAGAGATGTATTTTCCTGTACTTCCCATTGACCAAGGCTCAGCCTTGTCCAAACCAGCTACTTGACTTTACCTTGGGCGTAAGCAATTTGATTTCCTCTTCTGGAATGCCACAGGATGCGTCTGTACCAACTTCAAAGGACCCTAGGCAATAATTATTTACGACTTCTTGAGCACACTTTATGTTTCAGGCACAAAGTTAAATGCTTTACATAATTATTCTCATTTAATCTTCACAACAACCCAGTGAGGTGCTCTTAGTTTCTTCATTTTACATGTAGGGAAACTGAGGCTCAGAAAGGTGAAGTGATTTACTCAAGATCACATAGCTTATAAGGGGTGGAGCAAGTCTAATTCCAGGACCCCTGCTTTTAACAACTATGCTGTATGTCTGTCCCCATCCCTGATATTTAAACAAGCTTTAACAATGAATATTCTAGACAAAAATGTTTTGAAAACAAATAGTGGTAATGATTGCACAATATTGCGTGTGTGATTAATGCCACTGGATTGTACATTTTCTTCCTTTAGTCATATATTACTTGTAAAGGCAGTCCTAACCTATTTGCATTTTGCTTGTCTATTCAGCAGCTCTAGGGCACTTTTGTAAAAGCCAGTGCTTACAGAAAACGTAACTCACTATGACATCAGACCATCCCTCATCTGGAGTTGGGTACAGTCTTTCTCCCAGTTAGATAGACTTCAGACCCAGAATCACCTTTTTCAGCTTCTGCTCCTTTCCCTCTTCCACATCAAATCAGCAACCAAACCTTATCCATGTTCCCATTCTCAATACCAGTGCTCCACATCCTATTTCTAGCACCACATGCCTTGGATCCCTAAACCCCTCTGCCAGATGAGTGATCCTTAAGTAAAGCAGTGCCCATACCATAGCCCTACTCAGAAATCATAGTGGTTCTCCCATACCCACAGAATCAGGTGGGACCAAAGGCCTCCATCTGCCCTTTCAGCCTGATTTCCCACTGTACCACAATATAAATTCTCCCTCCTCACCCCTTTTTGCCCTGTCTTTCAAGTTTTGTTTCCGATATCACTCCTCCACAAGGCTTTTCCTGGCCACCCACTGTCCTTTCCTGTGTGTATTTATTGTCTCAATCACTGAGCATTAACCATTTACTGTCCTCTTTGGTTGAGTATATTCTCTTGTGTATGCTTCTGTCACCACAAGGATAATTTCTGTTCTCCAAAGAAACAGTCAATAATTCTTTGCATTCCTCCATTGGGCCTACATATATTAGGTGTTTATAAGTATTGCTTGTTCTCTAGGGAGGGGAGCAAAGAAAGAGAACACGTGATTGATGTCTCTGATTAATGAATAGAGCATACTCACAAAATGATGAAGCAAAGTGTATGGACAAGTACAAAATATTACAGTGTTAGTAATATACACTCAAGGAATATGGACCAAAGGAATGATGAGGTGTATTAGGCTCTCACTCCTCAAAAGGTGGGCCATAGAACAAACTTTTTCACCAGGGAAGCTTGTTAGAAATACCTACTGAGTCAAAATCGGCATTTTATCATGATCCCCAGGTGATTCCTTTGACATTAAAGTTTGAGAAGCATTACATTAGGCCAGTGGATCTATAACTATGAGATCTTGCTGTGTCTGATGCTTCTACTGCGGTGGTTCTCAAATGTCACCCATGAATTCCTGAGTAAAAATTAAATAATCACTGTGGGCTTTTTCCCTAATTACAAAAAAAAAACGTTAATTGATAGAATTTTCTCAGTTGTAAGTTTTCCCCCATATATTTTTCTTAAATTTTGACACATGCTAAATTTGTCTTTCCTAGCACCTAATACCTCTTAGTCCTGACTACGCACTAGAATCACCTAAACCTGTTGTAGTCCGGTTGATTCCGACTCATAGCGACCCTACAGGGCAGAGTAGAACTGCCCCATAGGGTTTCCAAGGCTGTAATCTTTACAGAAGCAGACTGCCACATCTTTCTCCTGTGGAGTGGCTGGTGAGTTCGAACCACTGACCTTTTGGTTGGCAGCCGAGCACTTAACCACTGTCCCACCAGGGCTCCTTCTAGAATCACCTAGGGAACTTCTAAAACATACTGATTCCCAAACCCTGCCTTCTGATTTAATTGGTATGGGAATGGACCCCGGGCATAGACATTTTTGTAAAGCTCCCCTGATGATTCTACTGGGAAAGCTCAGGCTGAGAACCACTGATCTAGTATAAAATGATACTTGGTTAAGGAACATTTATCAGCATTGTTTGGCATTTTGAAACGAGCATCACGTCTGTCAGGCACTCCATCACATTTGAGAAGCCATGCTCTATTAATAGGTTTTGTCACTCAGGCAAAGACTTTAGGAGAGGGTCTTCTGTGATATTTTTTTTTTAACCCCAAAGGCATTTTGTGTATTTCCTGTGTTAAGGAGTTTTCAGATGGACTGATGATTTGTCTTCATATCAGAGTTTGACTAATTGATCTGTAGTTTCCAAAATTTTCTTTTGAGTTTCTTGTACAGAGGCAGGCTGCTCAACCTCCTTTATTTTTATACCATTTAGAACTCATAGTCGTCTCTCCGAGCAGCTTGAGTCTCAGAAATGTGATTGAAAGTCTCAGTTGTGCCATTATTTGAGGCAGCTGCTTATTTTGAATTTACAGGTCAAGGAACCAGATTGTTCACTCCTCTTATCTGGGACCCTTCCCTTTGTGGTTTAAAAAAAAAATTGAGACCCTAAATACAAATGTATAATAGATTTAAGCACAGCTTTTTTTTTTTTTCTTTTTAGAGCATGGACAGACCAGGAATATGGATTAATCATTGATGGCGCCACATTGTCACTCATATTAAATTCTAGTCAGGAATGTGGTTCAAGCAATTACAAAAGCATTTTCCTACAAATTTGTATGAAGTGCACTGCAGTGCTCTGCTGCCGGATGGCACCATTACAGAAAGCCCAGGTAACTGTGGATGTTAATTAATGTTCCATTCTGGGTACTTCTATAAACATGTGTCTGAATGTTCAGGCCTACTTATTTATTTTTAAGCGCTATTATTATCACCTAATCTCTTCTTCCCTGACTTCTTGCTCTTTGTCGTCAAACTCAAGAGTCTTCCCCGATTTGAATTTAAAGCTATGCTTCACTTTATTGTCCCCTCAAGCTGCCTGTCCTATTCCTCCCCTTCCAAACTTCTCTAATGGCTGCTTGGTGCCTGCTGCCTCCATCCCACTGCCCCCAACTCCTCTATTGCATTAGCCCCGTGCATTCTTTCTTCTCATCCTCCCCTGTTGGATTGCCTGGAGGAGGGCAGTAACCTCCTTGTCCAGTCCCTTGTGCTGTCTTCCACTCTCCTCATTCCTCCACTGCATTTGATACTACCAATTAGATCCTTCTTAAAACTCTCCTCCCTTGGTTCCTGTGACAGTCCGTGGTCCTGACTTTTTTCTTCTTTGGCAACCTAGCATCCTTTAGTTTTGTTTTATCCTCTGTCTTCTCCCTAACTGCCAGCATTCTCTAGGGCTAAGTCTTCCCTCTGCTTTTTACTTTAAAGACTCTCTCTGTCTGGATTAGCACATCCATTTCTATGACTCCCATTGATATATTTCTGGCCGTGACTTTTTCTTGACGTTTAGTCTCATATTTCTATCTGCCTGCTAGGCAGCTCCATATGGATTCCCCACTGTTACATTAAATTCTAGTATCCATGGCAGATCTTACAATTTTCTCCTTCAGGCCAGTTATTTGTCCTCGTTATTTCTGTTACCAGTACCATTTTTCATTTGTTCCCAATGTCTCAAAACTACCCTTCTCTTCTTCCTCACTGTATGTAAAGTCACCAAGTCCTGTTCATCCTGCCTTTTGTCATAACTCATTTTGGTGCCATCTTTTTAAACCTGTCACCACCAGCCTGGTCCAATTCCTTATGACTTTACACGCAGACTATTTTTTGATTTAGTCCCCTGCTGGTCTCCTTGCTTTCACTCTTCCCCCTTTAATCTATTTTCCCACACCCCAAATTAATCTTACTAAAACACTGCTATGTTCTTGCTCAGACACCTTCAGTGGTATCCTAGTCCCATAGGATGAAAAGCAAATGACTCAGTGTAGCACTTGGGGATCACCATGTTGGACCTTAACGAGTATTTGTATGTTTTGTGTCCATTACCAGTTGCCATCAAGTGGAGTCCGACTCATGGAGACCCTATGTCTGTCAGAGTAGAACTGTGCTCCATACTACTCCCTTATCCAGCATAAATCCTCCATTCTTGTTGGTTGTTCCCCCTTTGTGTCCATTCCGAATGCCATACTCAAGCCAACTTCCAAAGTTTTTCTCGTATCATTTCCTCATTTGGAATTCTCTCTGAACCTCCTCTTGGCCTAACAAAAATGTTACTCAAAATAAAACCCAGCTCAAGGGCCACTTCCCATGTACTATGTTTTCCAACTCTTCCAGCCTATGTTGGTCTGCTTCACCTGGCTTCCTTATACATTTATAGTCCTTAGAGTCTCAATTACATAAACTTTCTCATTTTTATATATACTGTATGTATTCTTTCATCTATGTTAGTCTTGCCTCTTCAGATTCTTCAGCTGCTTGTTCTAGACAGGAGATGGCTGTGTCTGTGACTTCTCCTTGACACACACCTCACCCCCTTCAACGTGCACGCTGTTCATCCTAGTCTGGGGCATTGTCTCTGTCTTCTCATTCATAGTCTCCACAGCAATTAAGGAGCTCTTCTTTCTTTTCTTCAGCCTTCAGAGCCCCAACTGGGGGTTCAGTTCCTACAAGAACAGTATCCATAGAAATCTGTCCCCTCAGTCAGAGGCTTGCCTCAGTTAGCAATACCTCTTTTTTTCTTATATTCAGCGTCTGCTGCTCAGATTACTCCCCTAGGTTCTGACTACTACACTGCCCAGGCCAGTGTCTGAATACCTGACTTCATGCTGCTTCTCCCACCTGGAATATGGAGTCTCTGTGGTTCAGTCCTCAGTCTATTTTATTTCTCTCACTGTAGGATATCATCTTCTCATCTGTCATGTTCATGTATGTGATGTCCAAGTCACTATGTCTAATCTAAATCTTAGAGCAATTATAGCCTTTACTTCTCTGGCTGCCTACCAAACACATCTTCTTGGATTTGTCATTATCTGCTGTTAACAAATAGCATTTTTTGTGCTATTTAATAACAAGTAAAACCTGGCTAAATTGTGTTTAAAGCAAAGACTGAGGTGCCTTAGCCTCGTATTAAAAAAAAAAAAAAAACCCATTGCCATCAAGTCCATTCTGACTCATAGCGACCCTATAGGACAGAGTAGAACTGCCACATAGAGTTTCCAAGGAGCGCCTGGTGGATTCAAACTGCCAGACTTTTGGTTAGCAGCCGTAGCACTTAACCACTGCGCCACCAGGGTTTCCAGCCTTGTATAAATTATCTGTAATCAGTTATGTTGAAAGTGGATTTGATTTATGTTAACTGGTGAGAGCAATCATGAGGACAGAATTTTTGCAAAGTGTTATTTAGCTACTGAATTATTTAAGCTTTTAAAACTCTGCTAGATTCTAAGAGGGTTTTGAGAGTTGACACATCAAGCAGTCATTATCTAAAACATGAGGTGGGAAGGCAGCTGCTTGCCCAATACACTATCCACAAGTAACTCTGCCAGGAGAATGTTTGGGAGAACTTCGAAGCAGAAGTGTTTTTAACACTGGGGGTGAACATTTTATTCAGCACCTACCATACACAGCACTGAGCTAGATGGTACCATTGACACATCCTGAGGAGACACCCAGAGAGTAGTGACAGGCTTTGTACACATATCTTGGGCATCTTTCTGCAAATCTCACCACCTTTACAATGCCCCTTTTTAAAGTGTAGCTACCTATAGGAAAGGTCAAGCCATACTGAGCAGCAGGAAATTTAGTAAAGATTAGTGGATAGCCTGATGGGACCAAGAATTTAACATTAGATAAGTTCCAGAGAACAAGGATTGTGGTGCACCTGAGGGAGGTTACAGAGGAGAGAGTGAGAGGTGACTAAACATGTTCTCTGATCCCACTTTTCTTCCAATGGCCCTTTACAAGCTACTCCAAAGCAATTTTCTGGCCTCCATTGGTAAACATTCAACACCTCATCTCAAAGGACACATGGAACAACAACAAAAGAGGGAAGCATGTGAACGCTGATACGGGTAGGAAGCCAGGCTTTTAATAGTTCATACATGCAGAGAACCAGAAACAAGTGGGTGCTGGTGTTACATTTTGAATAGCTGTGTTCTTCTGCATCTGAGAATTCTTGACTGTTGTACGTATATGCACAAACTACCTGTCTGTTTGAAAGGCCTCCATTTACAAGTGTGAATGAGTCATAAACCCCAAATGTGGTACAATCTCACATTCTGCTTTGACCTTTTCTATACCTCTTTTGTATTTAATGTTTAGATTGTCAGAATGGTGAAGAATTTAAAAGGCAGTCCAATAACATTGTCGATAGGTGATGGTGCCAATGATGTTAGTATGATCTTGGAATCCCATGTGGGAATAGGTAAGAAACATCTACTGAGATGACAGCTGTAGGGTATCGGTATTGCTTTTAGGTAGAGTGGTCTTATATTCTAGAGACATTGTTTTGGTTGCTCATCTTGAATTTGAATTTGGGGATGATAATTGTTAATCGAAAAAAGGGCCTCGTCTGATGGTGGGACACATCTATCCCAAGGTCCTACCCTTGGTGGGAATGCAGCAAATGCAAAGTGTGAGGCTATTTTTATATTGGCCAAGTAAAGTGAATTTCCCAAACCTACTGGCAGCACAATTGATCGTTTAGCTCTCACTTTGACAGCATGCATGAAATCTTATTGATTTTCCTCTTCTGGCCAGACCGCCTGCTTATGTTGCTGCACTATATCTTTTGAGATATTTAACTGTTTGGGACTAAGAAATGATAATTAGTTGGCTGGTTTTCTGTGTGGCAATATTTATGGGTGGTTTGGGCTGTAGTGTTGAATTTATATGTTAACGTACAGCAACAGCTTTTCTGCTGCCTGCACCATTTTTCCCTGTCAGGCTACTGTTAGGCAGCAAAGCTAACACCCCAGCAACTTTTGGGGGGTGAGGAGGTATGGAATTAGAAACTTGAGAATCACTGTACTACAGTTTAGATTCCCAAATTCTTCTTTCCATTTGGAATTTGCCCTATTCGGTGTGGAAGTCTTATAAGTTTCACTCATTAGTTATCCAGTGTGGAAATGACCTAAAGCTGCTTCAGCTCATGGGATACTTCGGCTACTACTTAAGAGTTTCATTCAGTGAAAAGATTTTGCCATATTTTCATTGTGACTCCAGTTTTGAGCTCCTAGAATGGAAATCCCAGGTCTTTGAGGTGCCTTAATATAGCCTCTAGTCCCATGAAGTGCACAGTCAAGCACTTCCTAAGTAGCTTAAAAATGATTTTCAGGTTTAATTTTTTCCTCCAGATAAATTTTGCCTTGTAATGATTGAAATAATGATTCTATTTCATTGTTTCATATTGTGTTACCAATACATAGCTGCAAACTAAACTTCATTTTACATTTTACTGGAAAGTCGTAGTGTTGCTTTAAAGAAAGCACTTTTTTGGTTTACAAAAATGTAAAGTATAAAGTTGAACTATAACATTTAAGCAAGTTTAACATGTTAAAATAAAAAATCAAAGGGTTCCTTATTGTCTACAGTACTCACCCTATAGAGAAATATTCTTTTTTTAGGTATTAAAGGCAAAGAAGGTCGCCAAGCAGCCAGGAATAGTGATTATTCTGTTCCAAAGTTTAAACATTTGAAGAAACTGCTTTTGGCTCATGGACATCTATATTATGTGAGAATAGCACACCTTGTACAGTATTTCTTCTATAAGGTATGTGAGAGAATTTTGGTAATTTAACTGATGATAGTTTAATCCAGCATTGTCTTAGCTCCTCGTAGTTTTGTTTCTTCCCTTTTTTTCCCCATTTTTCGTTTTTCTTTCGTTGTCTTATTACTGAAATCTGCGACAACAAAGCAGAGGTGGTCTTTTGATGCAAGTTTTTATGTAAACTTTTTTGAAGTGTGTTGTTGCTGGGTGCTGAGGAGTCGATTCCGACTCATAGCGACCCTGTGTACAATAGAACAAAACACTGCCGTGTCCTGCACCATCCTCACAATCATTGCTATGTTTGAGCCCGTTTTTGCAGCCACTGTGTCAATTCATCTCGTTGAGGGTCTTCCTCTTTTTCACTCACCCTCTACTTTACCAAGCATGATGTCCTTCTCCAGGGACTGGACCTTCCTGATAACATGTCCCAAGTATGTGAGACAAAGTCTCCCCATCCTTGCTTCCAAGGAACACTTGGAAGTATAATCTACTTACATAAAAGTTTAATTTGGAAGTATAATTTACATAAAATATACCCATTTAAAGTGTATAGTTCCATGAATTTTGACAGATGTATGCATCAATGCAACCACTACCCCAATCAAAAATAAAACATTTCCATCACCCCAGAAAGTTCCTATGTGCCCCTCCCTAGTCAGTCTCCTCCATCCCCTGCCCCAAGCAACTGATAATCTGATTTGTATTACTACATAATATATACAGTTATGTAATATATGGAATAGATATATAATTTCTAGATTTGTTTTGCCTGTTTTAAAGCTCCATATGATAAATCATATGTAGTCTTTTATGTCTGGCCTATTTAACTTAGGGTTTTTTTTAATAATAATTTATTTTTTGTTGTTGTTGTTGAGAGTCTACACAACAGAACATGCACCAATTCAACAGTTTCTGTGTATACAATTCAGTGACATTGATTACATTCTTCCGGTTGTGCAACCATTCTTACTTACCCTCATTTTCCTCCGCCATTATGGTAAACTCCCTGCACCCTAAGTTTTCTGTCTGATCTTACGATTTGCTTTTGTTCATTTGATCCCATATAGATAGATCTTAAAAGGGCACAATGCTCAAGGCAGACATTATTTACTAGTTAAGTTAAAAATTTGTTTGATTTTAAGAAGACTTTAGGGTATATTTTTGGTCTAAGGTTTAAAGATTATCTCGGCAGTAGTTTCGGGGATTCATCTAGCCTCCAAGGCTCCAGAAAGTCTGGAGTCCATGAGAATTTGAAATTCTATTCTGCATTTTCCCCCTTTTGATTAGGATTCTGCTATAGAATCTTTGATCAAAATGTTTAATAATGGTAGCCAGGCACCATCCAATTCTTCTAGTCTCGTGGCAGAGGAGATGGTTGTTCATAGAGGCAGTTATCCACATATTCCATATCCTACTCCTTATACCTGACTGTTTTTCTTCTGTTGTTCCAGGCGAATAGAGACCAGTTGTGCCTTGGCTGGTTAGCATGTGTTTTTGAGCTTTTTCCATGTTATATCATTTATCAATATTTTGTTGCTGAATAGTATTCCAAACTATTTTTTTTTAAGTAGCATAATTGTCTTTTCAGATAAAGTTACGTAGATAGAGCATGTAGAAGCAGGATTGTATTGACTGAAGGATTATGGGACCAGGGCTGTTTACTTCCTCAACCTCCCTGTCCTACCCTAGAGGTTCCTCAGAGCATGATTTGGAATCCGTGAATATAGTTTAACCCAGTTGTTTTATGCATGATGAACCTAGCATACAATGAAGGTGAAGTAACTGGTCTATAGTATGCAAATCATTCTAAGCTAATACAGGCCAGAACTTGATCTCCTTTTCTGAGCTCTGTTTAGTAGAGTTTTTTAAAACAATTTTTGACTTTTCATTTTGAAATAATTTCAGACTTTGAAAAGGTTGCAAAAATAGTAAAAGATTCTCATACACCCATTATCCAGCTTCTCCAACTGTTAGCATCTTATATAACCACAGCATAGTTAACAAGATCAGTAAATTGGTGTTAATTATTACACTACTATTAACTAGTCTACACACTTAATTCACATTTTGACAATGTTCATTAATGTTCTCCTTGTGGTCCAGCATCCATCTCAGGATAACACTTTGCATGTAACTGCCATGTGTCCTTAGTCTTCTTTAATGTGGGACAGTTTCTGTCTGTCTTTGTCTTTCTTAACATTTTTGAAAAGTACTGGCTGGGTAATTAGTAGAATGCCCCTCAATTTGTGTTTGTCTGAGGTTGGCTTCGGAAACCCTGGTGGCATAGTGGTTAAGAGTTCTGCTGCTAAGCAAAAGGTCGGCAGTTTGAATCCACCAGGCGCCCCTTGGAAACCCTATGAGGCAGTTCTTCTCTGTCCTATAGGGTCACTATGGGTCAGAATCGACTCAATGGCAGTGGGTTTGGTTTTGGTTTTGGAGGTTTGCTCATTATTAGATTTAGGTTATGCTTTCTTGGCATGGATACCACAGACGCAATGTTGTAACCTTCTCAGTGTATCTTGTTACCAGGAACATGTTGTTGATGTCTCATTAATCGTAATGTTAACTTTGCTAACTTGATTCAAGTCGGATTTTGGGGGTCTCAAGACCCCTTAAGTTTGTTCCATGTCATTTACTTCAGAAAGAGTATTCTGCTACTAAAACAGATATTTTATTCTATGAGTTAAAATCTGTTGCTATCATTATTTGTTTGTTACCCAGTTTGCCCCAGATGTGGCCAGTGGAAGCCCCTATGTCCTTCAACATGGTCCCATCATTTTTTGAAGTCGTCTTTATTTTCTGATACCACCTGATGTGTCAGGCTTATCTTGTGTTTTCCCTGCCCCAGCCCTGGATTCAGACATTTCTCTAAGGAACACAGGTTTCTTTTCTTTGAGAATGGTATGTAGAAACCAAGATCTGGGTGGAAGTTGTGCTCATTCTGCTGGGCTGAAATTCTAGGCCTTCTCAGTGGACAGAGGTAGGAAATACATATGGGTGTACACACAAATCTGTTTATGTCTGTATGTATATATGTGTGTACATACATATAGTGTACATACATATATACATATATAGGACTAGAATCAAAGATACCAATGTGAATTCAGTATGTGAGCTCAATTTATACTGATACCTTTGATTGCAGTCCAACACCACTCGGTTCATTGTAGTCTTTCCCTTTTCCTTATATGTAGCTCCATTCTCCAACAGCAAGAAGCCTGGTTCTCATTATCCAAAGTATACTTACTTATTTGTGCAATCCTAGAATACACTTAAAGCAGTTCCAGAATTGCTAACTCATACTCCTATGAAAAACAGACCGACCAACTTCAGTACACAATTGGTATATAGTTCTTTTTGTCTTTAGCCTTATATAGTCAAAATCTTTTTTTCTTTTCTGAACCTCACTGTGGTTATGTTATTTTTTTGTAATACAGTTAGGTTGATTTGTTTTTGTTTGTATTCCATTTGGGGTACCTCCTCACAAATCCTGAATTATCTTAAATGATTTTTTTTTTGAGCATGTGAAACATTGACACGGTTTTAAAAGTCAGAACTGTACCAAAAAGTATACTCAGTGGTGTGTACCTCTGTCTTTCAAGATGAGGTTTTCTAAGTATGTCACTTAATGAGTTTATATTCTTTTAAAAAATGAGAATTATCCCAAACTGACTTCTCTCAAACCCCTCTTTTATTTATATGTAATTCCTATTCTAAAATGATGTTTTTGACTTGATGTGGATTCATCTATAAGCATACCAACAGAGATAACCAGTGGTAACATTTTGTTATTTGGCCTTGTGATCTTTTTTTCTGTACAAAATAATGCATGTGTATATCATTTTTATATTCTACATTTTTTTCTTTTTAATTTTTTATTGCGATATAATTCAAATAACATAAAATTTACTGTTTTAAAGTACATATAATTCAGTGGTTTTGAGTATATTCACTATGGTGTGCAACCATCATCACTACGTAATTCCAGGACATTTCCACCACCCCCAAAAGAAACCTTGTACCTGTTAGCAGTCAGTCACAATACATAGTTTTGCACTTTGCCTTTTTCAGTTAATAATATATTGTGAGCATTTTTCCTACCCAGTTAAATAGTCATCTAAAACACAGTGTACCCATTGCCATCGAGTGGATTCCAACTATAGTGACCCTATAGGACAGAGTAGAACTGCCCCATAGGGTTTCCAAGAAAGTGACTGGTGGATTCGAACTGCCAACCTTTTGGTTAGCAGCTGAGCTTGTATCCACTGCATCACCAGGGTGCCCTAAAACATGATAGTTGTACAATATCCAAAGCCCCCATTATTAATATCTTGGTTTTCTTTTTTATCACCAAGCAATAGAGTATATGTTAGACTCGGCCTGGGTACAAATTTTCGTGTATGTGGAAAAAGAATTTATCAAATTTCTTCTTTAGAATACTGTTTGTAGGTATAGTATCGAGTATATGTGCCAACTTTAAATGGTTCAAATCATTATGCTATTTGAATTTCATGCCCAAATTTCACAGGAGGAAAAGCTCAGTACACCTTTTTGTCAGTTTTCTGTGATCAACCCCAGGTCTTAATAACCTTATAGATTTTTTTTTTTTTTTTTTTTTTTTTTTTTGCTGAAGAATATAACTGTGAACCAAGATTCACAGATTTACTAAGATCCTACCAGCCAGTATCAGCTGGTAAGTTTTATTGTCTTCATTTAAAATATGAGGAAAGTGAGGCTCAGAAAGATTCTGTGGCTTGCTTTTGTCTTCTTAGCTAAGAGGTGACAGAGCTAGATCTCCATCGTGGGTTTATTTACTCTGAGAGTCCAGGACTCTTTACATCCTAGTTAAGGTCTTTCAGGCCTGGCACTGAGGACGTAACAGCCCCACGAGAGGGTGAATGGTTATTTTCTCTTAATACCCGCCTAGTAGGATATCCCATACAAATATGCCGTATAGATCTATCTTACGATCTGACCCTACTGCAGAGACTTAATTTGCCTCTTTAGATTTTGGCCTGCAATTCAAGCATCTGCCACCAGATGGAAGGAACTTTCTGTTAAGGAAGATGGAACAAACATTAAAATGGTTAATATTGACCAGTGGTCAGTAATTGACATATTTCTGTTATCAATTTAGGGGATTATTTGTATAAATGATGCCCTCTGTCTTCATTAGGGTCTCTGTGCTCAGTGTCATTTTAGTTATTGACTTAGTAGTATTCCTTTTTGGTACTGTCTTTTGTCCCAAGATGATTTCTAATATTTTCAACCCTCTTTGGCTGAGTTTAGAATAAGAAGTCTTTCCCTCCCCTTATCTTTATTTTTTTATTTTATTATAGTAAAAAATATATAACATAAATAAAATTTGCCATTTTAACCATTTTTTAAAATAATTTTTTTGTGCTTTAAGTAGAAGTTTACAATTCTAGTTAGTTTCTCATACAAAAATTTATATATACATTGTTATGTGACCCTAGTTGCTCTCCCTATAATGTGGCAGCACATTCCTCCCTTCCACCCCTGATTTCCTTTGTCCATTTAACCAGCTCTATCCCCTTCTACCTTCTCATCTCGCCTCTGGACAGGAGCTGCCCATTTAGTGTCTTGTATCTACTTGAGCTAAGAGGCACAATCCTCACAAGTATCACTTTATGTCCCACAGTCCAGTCCAATCCCTGTCTGAAGAGTTGGCCTAGGGAATGGTTTTAGTGCTGGGTTGACAGAGAGTCCAGGGGCCATCTGAAGAGTTGGCCTAGGGAATGGTTTTAGTGCTGGGTTGACAGAGAGTCCGGGGGCCATGCTTTCTGGGGTCCCTCCAGTCTCGGAGAGACAATTAAGTCTGGTCTTTTTACTGGAATTTGAGTTCTGCACCCTACTTTTCTCCTGCTCTGTCAGGGACTCTCTGTTGTATTCCCTGTCAGGGCAGTCATTGGTGGTAGCTGGGCACCATCTAGTTCTTCTGGTCTCAGGCTGATGAAGTCTCTGGTTTATGTGGCCCTTTCTGTCTCTTGGGCTAATACT